AAAATGTATTAGAGTCATGGGTGAACTCATTATAGAATACTTTTACTGCCCTGTCACAATTTTTTTGAAATTTGGTTGTTTGTTAAGAGATATTTCTATCTATTTCCAACAAAGAAACGTTTTTCCAAACGGATCCAAGACAGAAACCCAAACCATTAGTGGCACCATAACTACCACTGCACGGCAATAACAATCTTTAATAAGCTGCCACTACAAATCAGACAGCTGTCTATAAATAAATATAAACTTTTTGATGTGTGTTTCTACTCGTTTAACGATTTCATAGATTATAAATTTATATGTTATACATAAATAAATGATCCTAATTATGAAGTGAACAGGTAAGGACACTGACCTCTATATATACAAGTACGCTGGACTGGCTATACACCGTGACATGATGAAGCGATTTGATTTCCGCCATTTTGGCGCTGACATCAGAAGTGCACGTCCACGGAACCAATACTAGGGATAAGACAGTGTACCAAATTATATCGATAAAAATTAAATACCCTACCTATACCTAAATAAATAGAATGGACTCTATGGATAGATGGACTCTACCCGTAACGTCCTTTCTATTTATGTATCATATTAATATAATACCATTATCATTCATCATCATTAAAACCCTTCACAAATCCACTGCTGAACATAGGCCTCCCCCAAAAAAATGCCACAAAGCACGGTCCTGAGCTACCTGCATCCATCAACTTCCTGCATGTCTTACCAGGTTTTGACTCCATCTAGTGGGGGAATTTCCTACACTTCACTTGCCAGTACGAGTCTGCCACTCGAGAACCTTTTTTCCCCATCGGTATTCGGTTGTTCGAGCTATATGGCCGGTCAATTGCCACTTGTATGTACACACACACACACACACACACACACACACACACACACACACACACATACACACGCACGCACGCACGCACCCACCCACCCACCCACTCACGCACCCACCCACTCACGCACGCACGCACGCACGCACGCACGCACGCACGCACGCACGCACGCACGCACCCACGCACGCACGCACGCACGCACGCACGCACGCACGCACGCACGCACGCACGCACGCACGCACGCACGCACGCACGCACGCACGCACGCACGCACGCACGCACGCACGCACGCACGCACGCACGCTCGCACGCACGCACGCACGCACGCACACACACAAACAAAGTTAACAACAATTTTTGCTTTCCGATCACTTTTGTAAGGGGGCTTACCCCCTTAGTCCCTTAGGACTGAATCTCCTTAATACAGGCTATTTCTTAGTCTAGCAAGGAGAACAGAACGTCACCCTCACTATTGTTTTTTCACTTAATTTTATAGCTATCTCATGTAATATTTTATATGTAATACAAGTTAAAATTTTTAATAAATTATATTATAGATATAGTATAGTGTAAATTACCAATCGATTCATTCGGGCGAGACCAAAATCAAATACTGATGTATGCCTGTAATGTGAAACAAATAGGGTTGTATCGTGCATTGCCTGCCTCAACTTCAATTATTGATACCGATTGCATAGAACAGCGTGAAGTGCACCTCTGATTTCTGAGAGAGTTAGAGTATTGGTATTTGTAAAGTTTAATAAAACCTATAACGGCTGCTTTTTCAAATCAAATTTTATTCGTTGAACGAGGTTTAAAATTACAGACGACAACCCTTAATAGCACTGAAGTTGTCAATTGACATCTATACAAATAAATATACTTGAAGTGTCGGTTTGTAATGTTAAAACGGCATCGTTGTACCACAAAAAAAAAAAACAAATTTAAACTTTTTCGTCTGTGTGTCTGTCGATCTGTTTTTTTTTATAATATAAAGGTGACAGACGAGCACGCAGTCCACTTGATGGTAAGTGGATGCTGTGGCCCATAGAGATCTACATTTATCTTCAATTAAAAATCAAATTGCAGATGCGTTGCCAACCCTAAGGACTGAGATGTAATGCCTCGTTTCCAGTAAAAAGGGTCTATAGTCTGTTTGTCTATCTGACGGTCTGTCTGTCTGTTTGTTCCGGCTAATCTCTGATTAATATAATATAATATAATATAATTTTGACGGAACTTTCACTGGCTGGTGTTATAAGGAGGAACTTAGGCTACTTTTATTTTAGAAAAGTTATTAGGGTTCCGGCAAAAAAATCAAAACCCATGAAACCCAACCGTAGTAAATTACATAAAGTCGCTGGCAACACGTAGTTTTCAATATGATTAACATATTATGTTATTGTAATTGGTTATTTTTTATCAATTCCGATGTGTCTGTGATAGGAATTACAATGTTACAAACATTGTAATACGAGTATCTTTCGTTACCATTGGAGCCTATCAAAGTCCACTCTGAACATAGGCCTCCCCCACAGATTGCCTCATGGGGGATTTTGCCATAGTTGACACGCCTGGCGAGCGGATGGTCAACCGCGGTTTTTTTTTATTATTAGAGAGGATTTATATATCAGGAAGATGCTGCTGCCCATCTCCTGCCTGTCTCCCTCTGTCGCCTCTTACGACACCCACGGAACGATATGGGGGAGTGGATATTCTTACATCGCCACTGCACGGAAAATATTATAAAGTAAATATTTACATGCTATTGTAAATAGCTGTAACAGGAAACTCTCACTATTATTGAGAAAAGCAATATACTTAATACCTTAATAAGTAAAAAATAAAATTTTATACGTCGCACTGGGCACCGGCCTCTCATTTCTAAGAGGGTTTTAGAACAAGGAACATCCATCGCGCTATCCTAATGCGTATAGGTTTTTTCACGTTGTTTAATTCGCAGTGGAGCACTTAGTGAGGCAGCACTTAAAATTGCAATTAATTATTTCATTAGTAACTGCACTGTGAAATTCATTTTAAACTTCATGTTTTGTGAATGTTTCGCGTGATTAATAACAAATGATGGAAGGAAGCCGATAATAAATTTAAATATTTGTTTACAATTAATATATATATATTTTATATATACAAATAGCGCTAAAGAAGTTTTACTTCAGTCGTATGGTCATAAGAACACTCGTTTATTATTTTTTTAGTTGACTGTATAAGAGAATTCATCAAAGTATTTAGTCATATGGTTGTGACAAGTTGTTGTTGCTGGGAAGTGCCGCATTTTTGGCACTAGCGGCTTCGGGCTTCAGTAATCTATTACTGCGATTCTCTCGTAGATAAACGAACATATTTCGCTATGAGGAAGAATAGATGGCTATCGAAATATCACACTGTGACAAAGTCTTATACGAATATACGGTCGTGTGTCATCTGCATCCAGCGACTATGCACCTGATTATTCAGGTTTTCATTCCATTTAGCGGGTGGTAGCCCAACACCGTGCTTTCCAGTACAAGGCTGTGTCTCATGACATGACCCTTTCTTTCTCATAAGAGAAATTTAATCACTACCAATCTTAGAGTACTTAGCTAGTACTACTATAAACAACATACAGGTACAACTCTAGTTAAAAATACAGTAAACTGTTGTTATCAGTTTGTTGATTACACCATAGATAAAGCCTTAATATTTATTGGGCTGCCAGTTTTTAAATTAAATTTGCCAATTTTTTTTATAAAACATTCTTAATTATACCTCTGAATAACTTTTTCTTTAATTTGGGCTTCAGGTAATGTATGTTCATTCGTTAAGTCAATGTGAGGCTCTATATGGCTCTATTTTGAAAAACAGCGCTGGTTACTAAAAGATGGTAGTTATAGGGGCAGTTAGCTAAAAATAGAGTAGTAACTCGACTTAATGCAAATACTCTCGTAATTTATTATTATCGTTTGTTTTTGTTATCATGATACAAATAAAGTTTTCATAAGATATTTCCCTAATACCTCTTCACCTTATGCGTAGTAAAATTATAAAGGATGGATTTCATTCCATATCAACCAGTTGTGTATTATATATTAAGAATACCAGCGTAAAGTAGCAGCATTATGCTGCTATGTTTCATATGTTGAGCATAGAGAACCAGCCATTCGACGTCCACTTCTGGACACAAACTTTCTCTCATTTCTAAAAGTATTTGAGGCCCAGAAGGGATCCACATGGCAGTGTCATCACCCATGCAGACTTCTCATAGTTCTGTAATATATTTTAATTTTCTAGACTTGCAGGTTCCTTCACGATGTTTTTCTTTATTGTGAAGCGCGTGGCAAATTATCACTTGAAATTACAATAAACAATTTAATTGGTACCGGCTGGCGTCGAACCCGGGTTGCTCGCGTACTGTGCACTTCACAGTGCGAGTGCTTAAAAGAGAGCGCTAGTATCGCAAGAGACGACTATGGAATATGTCAAAAAGTTCTCCATTTACTTCACAATTGACATAAAATGCTTGTTGTGTATTCATTCAATACTTAAGTATTATAATTATTAATAATAATGACTTACAAACTGATTCGGACATGGTGGCCAGCCTCAACGAAGACTAGCCATCTGCGCAGTACTCGAATAGTGCCCAAGCGTGTGCTCAATATGTGTTTACGACTATTAGACAATTGAGGCAAATATAATTATATATTTTGGTCGTGTTTTCTTTAATTTAAAATTATCAATATAAATTAATATCATTATTTTTCATTTAAGTTGCAAAAATATTGCCTAATGTTTATTTTTGTAGATATTTGTATAGAATGGAATAACATAATTTTTGTTTAATATAAATAAAAATAAAAAAAATATTTAAAGTGTTAATGCAGTGTTTGGAAAAACATCTGCAACTTTGGGACTCGTCAAATACGATTTTCCAATCTTATACAATTATTTTCTATAAACTGGCAACTCCGATTATACAGTTAGCAGAATAACATTGAAGTTTTAAATGCTCTTTCTGTTAATTCGGTAGTGCTATGATGTGCGTACGCTAATATGAAGATCTGCTCGATAGTAAATGAAATTTTTTTGGCAATATTTCCATAAACAGTTCAATCGAGAAGATTTTTTATAGTGTTAAGTGTTAATTTGTATTGAAAAATGGGTGCATCAAAATTTGAAAAAGTTTCTTTCGAAGACGCGCTGAATATGACTGGTGTGTATTTTTTATTTAATCTCTCAATTTCCATAAATTAATCAACTTACATATACTCCTTATTTTCGAATATTTCTTAGGATCCCAGTTTTTATTCGTTTTATCAACAGTGTTGCTGATAAAATGAATAAAAATCTTAACAATAAACTTAAAAAACTTAGTAATGCCTACATCGTTACACCTAACTTTTTTAAAGTATTAAAACATTTTTTATTTTAATTACAATATACAAGTGTGATGATACCGTTGATATATTATTTAAATAAATAATAAATTTGTTCACAAGAATTATGGTACAAAGATTTTCTTATAAAATAATAATGTATCACATATTTCACCGATTTTGTTATATGAAAACTTATGGTTAGAATATACAAAATTTAAGTAAAATTAAACGTTATATGTTATAAAATTGTAATGAAAGTTTTTGTGTGAATATAATTTATCGTATTACGCAAATAGTTTCGAGTAATATATATTGAAACAATTGTGATTTTCACGCTGCCGACATTCGTTTGGTATGTTTTGTTTTTGTTATCAAAATTCAATAGTATTTTTGTAATGAACTAAAACCTGACTTTTATATAGATAATTTTGTATAGATTTTATAATGCCAAACTTCTTCGTAGAAAAGTAGTTTCCAAATATAAGTTTTAATGGTTTTAAGTGCTGCGGGTGGGTGCCGTCGCATGCGACCGCTCGGGATTTGCCGGACGCATGCGATTGCATGAGAATTTTAAGGGGACTGAGATTTAAAGCTTTTTGTTGTAACATGTCCCAGGCATGCTTGATAGAATTTAAGTCGGGCGACTGTGTAGGGCAATCCAAAACTTGAATATCGTGGTCTCGGAGAGCTGCCGGCATCAGTCGCGCCGTATGGGAAGGAGCATTATAGTGCATGATATCGTGCATTATCGTTCTGTGTGGGACAATAACTAGCTCTACCTCCACCTCGTGGTATTTTTGTGCAGTCATGGTGCTTTGGATCCAAACAAACTGGGTTCGTCCGCCAAGACAAATTCCTGTCCACACCATGATTGTCCCGCCTTGGTATGAGTGCACCTCCTGAGGGTGCCGTAGACGGCTAACTCTCCCTGGAGTTCTCCTAACGCGTGTTCTTCGTGAATCCGGATGAAACCCAAACCGTGACTCATCGGTGAAGTGCACCAAAGACCATTGTTCGTCACTCCATCGTATATGCTCCCAAGCCCACGAAAGCCAGCAACCGCGATTGCCACATCGCAATGCTGGAACACGAAGCGGTCTCCGAGCTTGAAAACCAACGTCATTCAACCTCCATTGCACATTTTGTTCGCTTGTCAGCAGGTGGTGGTCCTCCTGGAGTCTTTGTAGTAGTCAAATCGCTGTGACATGGGGTCGTCTTCAGGCGGTTATTTAGATAAATCGATCCTGTATCTGCGTAGTAACACGATATCTACCCGTGTGCCATTTCTCCACATCCCCAGTACTGCGATAACGTGACCACAACCTTAATATCACGTTTTTGGCTGGTATGTAGGGACTCGGCATCGACACGCCATTTTCTACCATGCCCAAAGCTCGTAACATTTCATCTCGACTCAAATGACTACGTTACACATACGTTAAAAATTATCTAATCCCTTTTCATTAATTAATGTCAGTAGAACAATTTCAATTTTCCTTGACGTAACGAATTACTTAGAATTTTGTCGCCGTATTTTGTTTTTTCTTCTGAAAACAAAAGAAAAAACAAAATACCATAAAAACAAAATATATAAAAAAATACAAGTTTTCGCTGGAGGTACCCCTGTCTATTCCACCACTATCATCCCTTTACCCCACACCCCCAGTCATTTTTCATCCCCCAGCTTAAAAGCTGCTGTTTTGTGGTCCTCCCCGATCGAGCCGACCCATTCGTGCTAACTAAAATATACATGCAGCATGGCTCTACTGCGTACATTTTTCCATAATACAGAAAACATACATAAAAATCAAACAACAATACTGTATATAAACTATACAGTATTGTTGTTTGATTTTTATGTACAGTATTGTACACCATATTACCAGAGATATTACTTACTCCATCGTTAAACTAGTAGACAATGCCTTAAGACATCGAAATCGTTCTCTGAACTTATAGTGACCGCCCGAAGTTCGATTTTTGGTCGAAGCCAAAGTCTATCGGCTATCGCTACAACCTTAGGCCGAAGTCAAAGCTGAAGTTTAAAAACCGTAAGATGTTCAATTCGCGATTGGCCATAATTAATAATAATATGTTTTCAAATTTTTGAATTAAAGGTTTATACTGACTGGATCATATATGAAGTAATTTTAATCATTTCCAAAATTTCATTTAGAGAAGATAAAAATTGCGTTGCCACGTTCATTGCGATCTCGCTGATTCGTAACAGTTCGTTCAAATTTGGAGTTTGCTAGAAACCTTCGACTTCGGCCAAAACTTCGACCCATTTTGGCCGAAGCTGAAGGATTTGCCGTAGGTTGTTTTTGGCCGAGGGTGGCCTAAGTTGATATTGAAACCGAAGCTTCGGTCGGACACTAGTACTTGTGGTCTCAAGCACTTTGTGGAAACTATGGCCACAGGGCCACAGCTATGGTGGAACCGAAGTGTTTGACGTCCAGAAGTCATACGAGTATAATTATGAGAACCCAAGAAGATGTTAGCATCTTGCTAAATAGATACTTTTTAATTTTAATAGCCATTCGTTTTTTTTGCAATATTTTTTTTGTTCAAAAATCAATTTAAAATAAAATCATTCATCAATTTTATTCTTATATACTCAATGAATTTTATTTTACTATCTAAAAAAATAAATTTTATCTTCAGGATTCGGCAAATTCAACTACTTGATGATGTTACTTGTGGCAAGTATTATCATGGGCATGGCCTTTGAGATCTTCTCAGTGGCATACCTCGTCCCAGCTAGCGCGTGCGAACTGGAAACCGTTAGCTCCCAGCAAGGTCTAATGGCAGGGACTCCTTTGGTGGGTGAGTAGAATCCACCGCTTAAGTTCTATGGTATGTCTGTTTTCAAAAATCTTTAATTTGTTTACATGGTAGTTATATTCATAATAAATAACTTACTTTACCGTACCGTGGTGGCGTAAGTCGAACCATCACTCCATTTTGTCCTGTGGCTGTTCAGTTACGACAATTCTGACAACTTAAAACACATCGGAAAAACGTCGCAGAGTACCGGGACAAACTTGTGGCTAAAGTCGAGGCTGTGCTGAACAGTCTCGGATTGGGGGCGACAAAATCTAGTCCAGGTCAATCCCCAGAAGACACAAGTTTGCGCGCTTACCGCTAAAAAGAACCCCTTTGTCGGCTCTCCTCAATTTCATGGTACTTCCCTTGCTGCCTCAGCTAGCATCGGAATCCTTGGCGTCGACATATCGAATATTGAGCAATTTCGTGGTCACTTGGAGGTTGAGGCCAAATCGGCCTCTAAAAAAGCTTGGCGTGCTCAGCAGATCGAGACAGTATTTCATGCCGGCACATCGCTTGCAACTAAAAAAATGCAAGTTTAGCCTCCCATGGAATACTGTTCTCATCTCTGGGCCGAGGCGTGCCAGTTCCTTTCACTTGACCGCATCCAACGCAGAGCGGTTCGAATCATGGACGACCGAGTTCTTTCAGATCGGCTGGATTCACTAGCACTGGATAGGGATGTTGCATCCCTTTGCGTTTACAATCGCATCTATCATTGGGGGTGTTCTGAGGAATTATTTGGATTAGTTCCAACCGCCAAATTTTACGTTTTCTTATTTTGGAGTTCTTATTTGAAGTTTCTTATTTCATATTTTGAAAATGTCGATATATTTTTTACTTATAGAATAAATTTGATAAACGAGCACACAGTCCACGTAAATGAATACTGTGGCCCATAGCCGGTTTACTCGTTTAAGAATCAAAATGCAGATGTCTTGACACCCCTGAGGACCAAGATAGAATGCCTCGTTTTCAGTAAAAAGGGTCTCCGGTAGACAAATTCACCATACGAAACCCAGCAGTATAAATTTGTTATTTTACGCAGGTATTCTGTAAGAATGTAGTCGTTCCCCAGTCGAGATGACCCATTCGTGTTATAATACAAAAATATGTGAATGTGTAACGGGATATTTTAAGCAACTAAAATCAGAATTAGAATTACAGTCACTATTTTCTTATTATACCGTCGTCAACAAATTATCCGTTTGATCGTAATTTAGCGACAATAACCCGGCGTGTACATTTTTCACACAAGTAATAATTAAGTATCACAAAATATCGGCTTAAAATAGCAGCTGAAAGCTGCTGTGTTTCGTATGGTTAGTGCAGAGAACTGGAGCTCTTTTAACTGGAAACGAGGCATTCCATCTTAGTCCTCACGGGTGACAACGCATCTCCATTTTGATTCTTAATCGAGGATAAATGTAGATAAATGTCTATGGGCCATAACATCCACTTACCATGAGGTGGACTGTGTCATAGTAAAAAAAGAATAGTAGGATTTCTTCTTATAATTGAACCGAACGCCGCTAATATGATGTGTGCATGCCTTCAACGTGACAGTACGAACTCGTACGCACGAGTCACAGCACGCACACAATGACATTTACTAAGACGGGAAGATCGGGTCGAGTCGGGTACGCCCACAGCCGTGCTCCGCAATAATAGCGAAAATAAAACGAAAATCTTTTTTTTTTCGTTTATTTTCTCTTTTTGTAAAATAAATAAATGTGTGCGTTCGTTTAAGTAAATTAGCTTTTTATTAATAGGTTATATTATTATATGTATACATAGATACATACCTCACAAGTACGTTAATTATCATATCACATCAGATCAAATTAATTTGAAACATTAAATCTGAGCTGACACCATATGCTCAGTGTTAATTTACTCGTATTTTAGTTATTTGGCATTTGTTGTAATGTAAAGCTGATTATTTTTTTGACAAAAATCGATTCTTTGAGAGGAAACTAAAGAAATGATTAAGAATATGATGCTAAGGTACGTATCTACTTATAAAGCTAAATGCGACTTAGGTGTTGAACAAAAGGACAGTGACAACTCTGCAACAGTAGGAATTTGTCTCGTGGCGCGGGAAAATCCTACTATTCTGTTTTTACTATGACTGTGTACTCGTTTGTCATCCTATTCCATAAAAAGCCGAAGATTTCTAGTTATCTGTGTTCTCTATGTGTATTGTATTGTACATATGTGTGCCAAGGAAGCTTTGAAAACGATGAGAAAAAGCGGTTTTAAATTAGAAATCGGGCAAATATTATGAGTTTTTTTTTGTATAGTTTTGGATCCAATGGAGTAGATTTATGTTGCCCGAGAAAACTATTTTTATATACGGATTATGTATACAGTTGAAGAATTGTTTGTAATTAATACTCAAAGATTTTCAGTAGGGAACCGAAATTATTGCTAGCAAGGCGAGCGGGTTTGCAACCGCAGTTTTTTTATTTTTTGTCGTTATAGCTGCTACCTATTACCTGATTTGCTTCCCTCTGTCGTTTCTTACGACACCCACAGGATATGGGGTAGTGGGTATTTTTACACCGCCACTGCAAGTCTTCTAAATCATGGTATTGCTACTTAAACTTTCTAGAGCAGATAATAGTATTATCTAGAAATAAATTATTAATAAGGTTTTTGTTTCACAAATAATGGAAAAAAACTTAGTCTCTTTAGGAAGAAAATAGATTTTTTTAATAAAAAAATAGATGTTAATGTCTTCTCTTTCTGTTTAGTGTGTACTAACTTACTAATCCTGATGATGGCAATGACATCAAATACCCATGCCCATTATGCGCGTGTATTTCTGTACTAAACTTAACAAAGTGTGCATAAATATGTCCAATTTGTCTTCTCTTTTATGTGATCTTTATGTATCGTATCGCAAAAACTAAAATATTTCTTGGGGTACGATTTTAAGATTTGAAATTTTTAAATCTCAAAAAAAAAACTGGCCACATAATTTGTATAACGTTTATACTATAAGAAAATAAAATGAATCATAATATATTTGTGTGACTCATTTTAAAATACAGACTTATACTAAATTAATAATTATAATTTTCACGAAAAAAAACGATAGAAGTGCGAAACCAAATTTTAAAATTAATTTACGGCACAAAATATGCTTCTGCAGATTTTCATTCGATACAAAACCAGGTATAATATTCTATTATGGCACATGTATGGCACAGACATAATAGAATAAAATAAATTATTATTTAATAACAATTATTAATAATTCTTTTTGAAAAAACCACTGCCCGGTGAATGAACAAACAAGAAACCCAGCTTTTTTCCATTATTACAAATAGAATAAAAAACCGATTGTACAGTTAATTTATTTCGAAAGGTTGCTTGTAATCAGAATATGTAAGCCATTTGTATGTATTTTAGATAATATTATATCATGTCGACATTTTAAGACTTGAATATACTCACCTCTATTTGGTTAACACTTTTGTTATATGTAATACAGTATAAATTATAATTATCTTTACTTAATATTTGTATACGTGTAATAAAATATTATGTAAATATAATATATAATTTTCCAGTTGTAGAGTCACGCGGAAACTTGCTGTCGCTCGGATGGGTCGGTTCGAACAGGGGAGGGGTTAGAACAGGGTACCAAGACCTCACAGAACACCTGCGTGAAGTAGAAGTTTAATATCAACAACCCGCCCTGGTGATTGAAAATTCCTCGCCGAGGTGAGGGTAGCTTAGACGTGGATACGCCTTAGCTACCCTACACTGCTTGGGTCCAGCAGAGTAACATGACAAAGGCGACCCTTGCCACGCTATTCGTGAATTTCTCCAATATCAGGGTCTTCATTCGAACCTAAATGCTCTCCACTACAATTTTTTAGACGTTTAGCCACGCTGCAGCTATATTATGGTTGTAGCACGAATGGATCGGCTCGTCCGGGGAAAAACCACGCTCTTACCTCTTATAATACCAGCATAAAATGGCAGCTTAATGCTGCTGTGTCTTGTATGGTGAGTGTAGAGAACCGGAGACCCGTTTTACTGGAATCGAAGCATTCCGTCTTAGTCCTCAGGGGTGACAACGAATCTGCATGTCGATTCTAAATCGAGGTTAAATGTAGATGTCTCTGAGCCACAGCATTCACTTACTATCAGGTTGACTGTGTGCTCGTTTGTCACCCTTATTCTTTAAAAAAAAACTAACATCTGGAGACGGCAAAGTCGGCCTTGCTCTTTTTGACAGAGAAGCTGATGTTCTCTCTGGCTGATCTTCGTATCTATCCCTCCCGGGGTACATATTGGAACACTCCTTTGTGTCTCGGGCTGGAGTTTGCGTATATGTCAGAGACGATATCTGTCCTCGACGCCTCAGCAGTCTTGAAGGTACGGATTTGTACATACTTCGACTGAATGTAGACAACGAGGACTATCTCCGCGTCTACGGGTGTCTCTATAGGTGTCATGACGGTAATACCGCCACAGACCGCCTCATCGAACACGTCTAAATGGCTACAGATACCATGCGGTAACAGATCCGTTTACGTTGAACGGACGGAACTGAACACGGGACGGGACGGGACGGGACACCCAACGGAAACTATTCCGGGAGATCTATTTTTTAACTTTGCCTTGGCATATGGTCTGACACAACTAGTTACTTTTCCTACGCGTATTCCGAATGTGGAGTATCATGTATCTTCCTTGTTGGATCTTCTGCTGACATCTCATTCAGGCGGACATCAGGTCTCTGTGGACACCCCTCTTGCCTCACCTCTAATCGGGAGTAGGGTGCCACTCACGCTCTAATAGCGGTTGCTTTCTACAGATTGTCGCCGTGTTTGGCATTATAGGTTGGCCGATTTTGGCAGGATGCGGTTTTTTTTGCATCCTACCCGTGAGAGCGAATAACCTCAACGTTGTCGTTTGATTCTATCACTGATGTTGTATCCGTATGTATTGTAATTTAATTTAATTACTTGTTAATAAAACTAGATAGATTTTAGGAAATGTTATCTCGCGTCAACAATACCTACGTTCAGCAGTGGACTTTAATAGGCTGTAAGGGTAACGGTAATAATCTAACGAATCGTCCTTGGTAGAAATCCTTCCCACCTTCACTTTCTTAAATTCTTAAAAATTGTGTTTTATCTGTGTAAATGTAAGAAATCATAATGCCATTTACAAATAAGTTATATTTACAGGTATTATAGCGACCTCACATTTTTGGGGTTACTTAGCGGACACTAAAGGGAGACGCAAGATCCTCTGCTGGTGTCTCTCTCTCGGATTCTCTGCCGGCGCACTCGCCTCTCTATCACCCAATTGGATTGTATTTGCCTTATTGAAGTTCGCTTCTTCTTGTGGGTATGTCTATTAAGTTGTTATTTTTGACGTGACAACGTCTAATAAATCGATGAACACCGGCTTTACGCACGAAAGAGGATGACTCATTGTAACGTTACAGATGGAGTTAGAGCGCTGCACGCGTGAGTGAAAGGCATGATCGGCTTGAGCGTTCACCTTGTCTATCTCTCTTCCACAAAGTGTGTAATCATTTCATCAATGTTTTCTTATGATGTTGTCACGTTAAACTATCGTCCGTAAACCGACTTTACAGAAACCAATTTTTTATAACTTCGTAATTGGAAGTCAACTCAGTAAACTAGTTGTATTAGATAAGGGACCAATTCCTGATATATTTTTTTAATTGCAAGAAAATTTACTACCTTACATCATCCCCTGAGTATCGTAAAAGGCGAAAGGGGAATTCAGGAGATTGGCAGCAGTATCTTCTTGAACAACTTAATTATAAAACTGAGGTAGCGAAATCGTTTGCCAAGAGTGGTAACTATGACAAATTTTCCCCCATAGGGGTAGGCATAGGTTCAGCAGTGGACTTTTAATCACTGCTTTTACGCCATGCTTGAACTAGTTATAGGTAGTTTAGTTTGTTGCAGCCATTGAAGTAATATGTAGTACATACTAAAAGAGACACCTTGGCTTGTTTGACTCGCCTAGCCCGCGGACTTCAACTTAATCTGTGCCTTAAAAAGGTACTCCGTGCCTTCTACGTCACACGGTGCGTAGTACATATTGATTCAATGCAGCGCAGTAGAATATTTTATTATTGCTTACACTACGGTAAATATTTCCGTCAAGTGTCAAAACCTAAAGCTCTTTTTTAATTAAAAATCTGTTAGGTAACCAATTAACGAAAACAAAACATGCCAACGTTCGTCTGGGAAACGGAAAATTAAACTTTTAATAAAATGTTAAGCTCAACTTCAATTAATTCCACATAATAGCTTCAGAAGTTGATAAGACATTGAGAAGAAAGGATCGAGTTAAGAAGCTATTACGTGAAAGTTGATCCTAGTTATGTTCTTTTTAGTTGTTTGAATTCAGTTTTAACTTTTATTAAATTTAAAAAATGTTTACTTCTGGACATTTTTAGAGGACTAAGGATATCAAAAGTTTAGAATTACGTTTAAATAGTGTCCATTTTCCACCGGGACAAAAATTTCTCCATTGATGAAAGCGTGGTCCTAAAGCATAAAATAGCAGCTCAATGCTGCTGTGTTACTTATGGTTAGTGTAGAGAACCGGAGGCCCTTTTGATAGGAAACGAGGCATTCCATCTTAATCCTCAGGTGACAATGCATCTGCATTTTTCATTCTTAATCGATCGAATCACATAGACATCAACGTCTATATAGACAGGCTACAGCTCAAATTATGAAGTTGGCTTAGCGCTAGTGTGTCACCTTTGCTTCTAAAAATAACTTTATATGTTATAAACCAACAGCTGATAACGCTTTTCTATTCTACTCATACGAGGAACTCTAATGCGCACAGAAAAAAGTCTAATAGCTTCATGTTCTTGTCAATAGTGTTGCTGGAACATATGCGCTAGTGCTTACTTTGCTTAGTGAGTGCACGCCAGAGAAGAGAAGATTTGCTCTGATAGCTCTTACATCCAGCATCTTTCTTGGGTGCACTGGGTTGATGGCAAGTAAGTACTTTACGACCTTCCCTCTTTATTTAATCACCCATATGCAAGTACTCCTACTTTATTTATTTTATGTTAATAAAACTACTATTCCAGTATATCAGTCTTTAGTAGCTTCTCTATTTGCCGTAGTGTTCGAAATAATTAGCGGATCACGCTTAGTAGATAGGCGGCTTAGTATCAAAAGTCTCGCTTCTTAGAAACTTCTTCACATAATTCTTGGCTTGGTAATTTTCAGTCATATCATCATCATCATCATCATCATTACAGCCCTTCACAAATCCACTGCTGAACATAGGCCTCCCCCGAGTAATGCCACAAAGCACGGTCCTGAGCCACCTGCATCCACCGACTTCCTGCATGTCTTACCAGGTCGTCACTCCATCTAGTGGGGGGTCGCCCTACACTACGCCTACCGGTACGAGGCTGCCACTCGAGAAACTTTCTTCCCCATCGGTTATCGGTTCTTCGAGTTATATGGCCGGCCACTGCCACTTCAGCTTACTAATCCGTTGGGCTATGTCGGTCGCTCTGGTTTTACTGCGGATATCCTCATTTCTGAGTCTATCACGCAGAGAAACTCCGAGCATAGCCCTCTCCATAGCTCACTGAGCGACCTTGAGCGTCCTCATACGGCCAGCAGTGGAGGACCACGTCTCTGATCCGTAAGTCATCACTGGCAACACGCACTGGTTGTACAATTTAGTTTTCAGAGATTGAGGTATAGCTGACGAGAAGATGTGTCATAATTTCCCGAACGCTGTCCAGCCGAGTTGAATCCGTCGATTGACCTCTTGGCCGAAGTTGGACTTACCTAATCGCACTATTTGTCCCGGGTAAACGTACTCGTCAACAACTTCGAGCAAAGTGCTCCCAACAACTACCGGCATAGGTGTGACATGGACATTAAACATAATCTTTGTTTTGTCCATGTTCATCTTAAGACCTATCCGTTGGGAGGCACTATTCAGGTCATTGAGCACAGTGCTTAAGTCCTCCAGCGACTCTGCCATAAGGACTATATCGTCGGCAAATCGAAGGTAAGTGATGTACTCGCCATTGATGTTAATACCGTATCCTTTCCAGTCCAGTAGCTTGAAAACGTCTTCCGATGCAGCGGTGAAGAGTTTCGGGGATATAACGTCACCCTGTCTTACACCTCTCTGCAGTTGGATAGGTTTCGAGCTCTGGTTCTGTACTCGGATAGCCATCGTAGCCCTACTGTACAAACACTTCAGCACTTCGATATACCGACAGTCAACTTGGCACCGCTGAAGGGACTGTAGCACCGCCCAAATTTCGACGGAATCAAAGGCTTTCTCATAGTCCACATACGCCAGGCAAAGTGGCAGATTGTACTCTTCAGTCTTCTGTACAATCTGCCGCAGGGTATGTATGTGGTCTATGGTACTGAAGCCTTTTCGGAAACCGGCTTGTTCGGGAGGCTGGAAGTCGTCGAGTCTGCGTGCGAGACGATTCGTAATGACTCTCGAAAACAGCACGTAGACGCGGCTCAGAAGGGAAATCGGTCTGTAGTTCTTCAAGAGAGCGTTGTAGCCTTTCTTAAAGAACAAGACCACCGCACTTCTGCTCCACGCCTCTGGAGTAGTGCCACCATGGAGGACGGAATTGAAGAGCTTCTGAAGGACTTCAAGTACCGGTGTTCCACCCGCTTTCAGAAGCTCCGCTGTAATTCCATTCTCGCCTGGGGCCCTGCCATTTTTAAGGTGCTGGAGAGCCATTCTAATCTCGCTTAGACTGACGTCCGAGATATCATCGGTGGCTCAGGACCGTGCTTTGTGGCATTACTTGGGGGAGGCCTATTTTCAGCAGTGGACTTGTGAAGGGCTGTAATGATGATGATGATGATGTGCTAAATTATTCCCTAATCATTCCAAAATATCAAAAATGCACAACGTTAATATTCAAGTTTTCACTTCTGCCGGCACTCCCGGAGTACAACCCGCCGTTTTTTTTATAGAATAAGGGTGACAAACGAGCACACAATCCGCCATACGACATACAACAACATTAAGCTGCTATTTTACGCTGGTATTCCGTGAGAGTGTGGTCCTTCCCCGGGCAAGTCAACCCATTCATACAACCATGATATAGTATGCACGTTTGTAACCTTTATTCTATAAAAATAATCTGTCGCATCTTAAACGCTGCTCTCTGTCGCCGATCTAGTTCTGGGTATTTTACGTTTAGTGTAAACAAAATTATTGTACCTATATTGCCACCGTACCGTACCATGTATTGGAAACCGTAAGATTTTTGTATTTCTCACAGTTATTTTTTTTCGTGACACCTACGGAACGAAATGGGGTACCTAGTGATTATTCTTACCGCCACCGCTCGGCACTTTTATAACTTTGTACAATTACTTTTTCGTTTATTTTCAGTTCTCACAATACCAGTGCTCCCTCTCACTTTCTCATACTATATCCCGTTCCTCAAAATCCACTTCAACTCCTGGCGACTCTTGAACATTATTTATAGTCTTCCATGTGCGGTGGCTGCCATAGGAATCTCACGTGCGTACGAAAGCCCGAAGTATTATCTCAGCGTTGGACGGGAAGAGGAGGCTTTGAAAGTTCTGAAGGGAATTCACTTAATTAATAAAGGAAAAAAATCAGTATTTAAGGTACGTATACAAAATTATATTATATAGATGAATGTATATAGATGATGTGATGATAGTGTATATAGATGAATAATTGACTTACACCGATGGATAGATAGATATCTGACACCTATTCTTCTTTGTTATCACGAAAAATTCCAGTGGTAAAAATAAAAGAAAAACACTTTTAATAAGAATTACTTGTAATCTATATTGAATAAAAATATCCTATTCTTTAGCTTTTCTAGATGTTAGTAATCACGGTACTCACAGCTTTCCTACAAAAATGTAGTGAAATAATGTGCACTTAGTAGACGTGTGTCATTCATTCAATCCTCGTGACCCAATCATTATAGTATTGGTTCGTCTTGCGAATCGGGTCATTGGAGTCGATCATTCAAATGGATCATTTCGACTTTAAGCACTCTGTGAGACCCACTGAACAATGTTGCTCGTTGGACATTACCATATTCTTTGTTCGTAGGTTCAATCAAATAAAAAAATCAGTCAAAAAGTACATCAATACTTTGAGGCAACCCGGGTCAAAAAAAAAAATCATTCAGGATCGACACACGTTTCTAGCACTTACGCACTAACCGCCGTAAATTAAAAAAATCTCAACCAAAACCTTTTTAGTATATTCTTAGCTGTTCCCCACGGCTTCGCCCGCGTGTAATTTAGGGCTTTCATTTTTTTTTTTGCGCGGAACCCTAATTCTTTTTCTAATATAAAAGTAGCCTAAGTTGCTCCTTATAATACCAGCTATCAGCCAATGAAGTTCTGTCAAAGTCCAGCCATTTTGGAGATTAGCCAGAACAAACACACAGACAGATAGAGAATTTTTTTAAAATTTGTGTATTTGTTATGAGTACCGTATATACTTTTACGTGCATTTAAAAAGCTGTATTTTGACATTAAAAAAAGACACTTCAATTTTGTTTATTTGTATATACAACGAAAAAGAGAAAAAATTTATAATATTACCATTTGCTGATTTCACGTGGATGCTTTTAGGTAAGCATACAGTCTACCTGATAGTAAGTAAATTCTATGGCTCATCTACATTTATCCTCGATTAAGAATCAAAGCACCGGTGTGTTGTCATCCCTGAGGACTAAGATGGAATGCTTCGTTTCCATAAAAAAGGGTCTCCGGATCTCTACACTCACCATATGAAACACAGCAGTATTAAACTGCTATTTCATGCTGGTATTCTGCGAGATATTCTGGTATTGTCGTTGTAGTAAACTATCGGAACCCATGAACACCGGAAGCCCTCATGTTTGAGGGAGTGTTGGAGCAAATATTCCGCAGCGGTGGTGGTGGATTTGACTTCCTAATATTTTAATTTTCAGCCATGCAGGTTACCTTACGAGGTTCTCCTTAACCGCCAAGAATATACCAAATCTAATCTACCAAACAAAAAAAATCTGTTAGTACTAAATCAAACCCAAGTTCAAATTCCCAAGGGATTATATTATGATGTGTGATGAGTGAATTACTCATCACGCACACTCATCATTCAGTTAATTTGAGTTGTTAAACAGCTTTTTATTTATACAGGTAAAATCAGTCACATTAGATGAAGAAAGTGCAGGAAATAATATACAAGGATTATGGGCGTCCATCGTCTCTCAGACAGTTCCGTTGTTAAAACCGCCCCTACTGAAGAACACTTTGTTGTTGTCCTTAATGTTCATTTTAGTGTACTTCTGGTAAGATATTTCTTTTTTATGGATGAAGACATCTACGTCTATCTTGAATTAAAAATCAACATACAGATGCGTAGTTAACCTTGAGGACTAAGATAGTATGTCCTGTTACCAGTAAAAAGGGTTTCCGGTTCTGTACACTCACCATACAAAATACAGCAGTATTAAGCTGCTATTTTACGCTGGTATTCTGTGAGAGAATGGTAGTAGGCTACGGTCAAACCACCTCTTTGTGTTACAACAATAATAGCTGAAGCGTGACAATATAACGTATAAGTACGTTCTTGGTTTTGTGTGATAATAATGTCCTGAATATCGCTCACAGCAGTCAGTCTCAGCAGAGACTAGTCATCCGCCAAATACTCGATTATAGTGCACAAGTGAGTGCATAATAGTCCGATGGGACATAAATCTAATACGACCGGAGAGAGATTTGGCGCAGAAACAACGGCTTTACGTGCTTTCCAAGCCACGGGGTGAAACACCGCTAAATTTTAAACATTGAGTCGCTGCTGACAATTTCTCGACACAGAAAAATTTTTCAGAAATGTACTAGACATGTATGTGAAAAATGAGATGGTTATTCTGACATCTGTCAAAAACTGTAACATTATTGTGGCAAGGGGAAATCAAATGTCGCCTCTGCGACACCCACGAGACGAAACGAAATGATGAATCTACTCATGACAATAAGAAATATTCGTATAAATTTCAATATAGAAGATGGCGGGGTGCTATCATCTGTTTGAGATCTTATGATTAATAAAATTAAATCCCAACCCCGACATACAACTGCTAGAATTCAAGATACTATACGTTCATTTTGCGTGGATCGGACCAAAAATTAATAATTTTAAACTGAATGTAGCCGTGGTTAACTATTACATTGTGACGTCAAATATCTCAGTATCCCCCGAGACTATGTGCGGTAAAGTAATCGAAACGTCGGGTATATAAAATAAGTTAACATGCGCGAAAAAATGCGTAAAACTTAGTTTCATTTAATGTGTAGCGTTTGCGTAAACGTAAGAAATCTTTACGAAATATTTATCACATTCATTCTTCCTTTCTTTAAAACTTTCTTAAAATATGCCTGCTGAAATATGTTGTATAGCTCTAAAAACTAACAACCGAGGGGACAGAAAATATCACGAGTGGCATCCTCGTACTAGTGGCAGAGTTCATATAAAAGAATTAATTGAACTTTTTCCTCTTATTAATCATGTTATGGCTGCATTAAATAGATTTGCATGGAATATTAAGTTTAAGTAAATTTGCGGGAAATGTGTCATTGTATTATTTTTATAGAAGTGCTGTCAAAAGAGCTTTCGGCTTACCTCGTAAGTGTCGAATGTCGCCCATGATCAACTGCGACGCCACGGGAATTGAAAGAAGTAAACTCGTTTCTTGCAGGTCGCTAAATCGTATCGGTCCGGAAAAATCGCTGGTGGTAAAGGATTCCACAACGAAGTCGTATGTGTGGCGTACCTCGGGCTATTCTTAATTAAATGAATAAGTTTTCTGTTATTAAAGTTACATCCTATATACGTCCCACTGTTGGGACAGGCCTTCCCTCATTTCTGAGCGGGTTTTAGACCAAGGAAGTGTCCATTGCGCTGCCTCAATGCCTGATGGCGAACTTCACATGTCTCGGAAATACTTTTTTTCTTATTTCTCAGACATGCAGGTTTCCTTACGATATTTTCCGTTACCGCCGAGCACTTGGTAAATTAACACTTAAAATTGCAATTAACAACTTCATTGGCGCCGGCAGAGATCGAACCCCATTTGCTCGCATATTGTGTAAACTTCTTTTATTGTACATTTAAATAGCTATATACGTAATAACTAGTTTTTACGGATCATATCGCGTCTATTAACTATTTTATGTCGTCGTCGTTTCGAGCACATTACAGCACCCATGGTCACGGGGGGACTGCTTGAAACATCGTTATTATAAAATAAGTTAATACACGCGAAATAATCCGTAAAAAAATACTTTTATTAAAATTTGTAGTGTTCGCGTAAACGTAATAAATCATTTCTTTTAGTGTATCTTGTTTATTCAATAATATAACTTTTTACAGCTTGAATCCATTTACGGTTTGGCAACCATATATTGCCGATGGTATAATGAGGTCCGTGGAGAGAGGACAAAGAAATATTACGTTCTGTCAAATGCTGGAGACATCATTTGACGAAAGCACAGCACAGGTATACATGTTTTATTTTTAATAAAAGATTAGGTCACACGGTATACACATACCTCTTGATGGTTAGTTAGTTGTTGAATATATGCTAGTTATGTATTGTGTTGAAAACATGATATTACTAATTTGATACGATAGAAAAAATCACAAAGATACCTCTAAAATTTCTTTTAACAAGTAAACAACCATACTAATATACATCCAATCATTCTGATTTTTGTCGGCTTATTATACAAGCAACATATTAACGTTATATTGTTTTAATTTTTTAATCCAATTTATTGATATTTTTAAATCGCATATTCTTATTTCTGAAACGACACGCACAGATAAGTGCGTAAACGTACCCCAACGCCTACACAAAGACGTGTCGCTCTTTTTGCCGCAGTATTTACGTTAAGATTGTTTAACGTATTCGTATAATTTTATGTTTAAATTAATTATTTCTTAAATATTTTTCTTTCCATAAATATTCTTCTTTCGTGTCAATATAAAATATTTTAGGTTAAAATAGCGTAATAAGGTATCTTGTTAATAATTATCATTTGTACATATTATGGGAAATCAAGTGAAACCCGTTACAAAAAGTAAAAAACGTTCGTATGAATCAAACGCCCAACATATGAACGATATTAAAACGTAAGAACATATTATTATCACTAAATATTTATTTGTATAACAGTCAACTTATGAATTTAAGAAACGTTGTTTATTACAGTAGTGTATTTGGTAGAGGTGCCTATGGATTTGCTTTTGCACTCGAGAGTGCCCCGGTTGGATCCAGGAATATGTAGTAATATTTTTTTTCTTTTATATATTTAGTAGTATATTTAGATACATTTATTAAATACTTTTAAAAAATCTTAAAGTAATTGCTGAATAACCTAAACATAAAAAAACCGTATATTAACCATATAGATATATCTTGAATAAAAATGTTAAAAGTTTAATCGAATCAGTTTTATTTAAAAATTACCCACATTCTTAAATATTCAAATAACACGCAAATAAAAAATAATTTAATTGCCCCATCTATTTATTTATAAGATCAGTATCTTATTTGCGCTCTATCTATTAAAACACTCGTGCGTAACCTCGCTAATCCGCTAGTGTTAAACCTCACTGTTGTTAGATGGCGTTCACTCAGTAAATGTGTGCATGCATCACTATATACTATATGGATTATATGGCCGGCCCATTGCCACTTCAGCTTACTGATCCGTTGGGCTATGTCAGTCACTCTGGTTCTTCTGCGGATATTCTCATTTCGAAGTTTATCACGCAGAGAAACTCAGAGCATAGCCCTCTCCATAGCTCGCTGAGCGACTTTGAGCGTCCTCATACAGCCAGTAGTGAAGGACCTCGTCTCAGTTCCGTAGGTCATCACTGGCAACACGCACTGATTGTAGAACTTAGTTTTCAGAGATTGAGGCATACCTGACGAGAAGATGTGTCGTAATTTTCCGAACGCTGCCCAGCCGAGTTGAATCCGTCGATTGACCTCTCGGTCGAAGTTGGACTTACCTAGTCGGACTATTTGTCCCAAGTAAACGTACTCGTCAACAACTTCGAGCTTAGTGCTCCCAACAACTATCGGCATAGGTGTGACGTGGACATTCAACATAATCTTTGTTTTGTCCATGTTCATCTTAAGACCTATCCGTAGGGAGGCACTATTGAGGTCATTGAGCATAGTGCTTAAGTCCTCCAGCGATTGTGCCAAAAGGACTATATCGTCGGCAAACCGAAGGTGAGTGATGCACTCGCCATTGATATTAATACCGTATTCTTTCCAGTCCAGTAGCTTGAAAACATCTTCCAATGCAGCGGTGAAGAGTTTCGGGGAAATAACGTCACCCTGTCTTACATCTCTCTGCAGTTGGATAGGTTTCGTACTCTGGTTCTGTACTCGGATAGCCATTATAACCCTACTGTACAAACACTTCAGCACTTTGATATACCGACAGTCAACTTGGCACCGCTGAAGAGGCTGTAGTACCGTCCAAATTTCGACGGAATCAAAACTTTCTCATAGTCTACATACGCCAGGCAAAGTGGCAGATTGTACTCTTCAGACTTCTGTACAATTTGCCGAATATGTATGTGGTCTATGGTACTAAAGCCTTTTCGGAAACCGGCTTGTTCAGGAGGCTGGAAGTCGTCGCGTCTGCGTGCGAGACGATTCGTAATGACTCTCGAAAACAGCACGTAGACGCGGCTCAGAAGGGATATCGGTCTGTAGTTCTTCAAGAGGGCGTTGTCACCTTTCTTGAAGAACAAGACCACCGCACTTCTGCTCCACGCCTCCGGAGTAGTGCCACCATGAAGGACGGAACTAAAGAGCCTCTTTAGGACTTCAAGTACCGGTTTTCCACCCGCTTTCAAAAGCTCCGCTGTAATTCCATCCTCGCCGGGGGACTTACCGTTTTCAAGGTGCTGGAGAGCCATTCTAATCTCGCTCAGGCTGACGTCCGGGATATCATCGGAATAGTGTCGGATGAGACTTGCTCTTGGATCGTTACCCACACTTGCGTGTGATTCCAACGATGAAGTGTACAGCTGCCCATAGAACCTCTCAATCTCACTCAGAATCTCAGGTGTCCTGGAAACGATGACAGATCTCTGCTAAAGATTTTGGAGCCCTGGTTCCAGTCGATCGCTTCTTCAATACGAGCAGTATTAATGTTACGTAAGTCTCGCCGCATGCATTTGGAGATCTGTCAGCCTGATCACGGGGAGTGCTCTGAGGAATTGTTCGGATTAATCCCAGCCGTCAAATTTCATGAACGCACTACGCGGCAAACCTCCCGATACCATCCACACCATCTGATGCTTGGCGGTCCACCACTGTACATTTCACTAAGAGTTTTCTTCCGCGTACGACCTCTCTGTGGAATAGTTTACCACCGGCGATTTTTCCGGACCGATACGACCTGGGGACCTTCAAGAAAAGAGCTTACTCCTTTCTATATGGCCGGAAACGCACCTGCAATTCTCCTAATGTTACGGTTGTTCATGGGCTGCGTAAGTCACTTAACCTGATGTTAACCGTAAGCTCGTTTGCCCCCTCTTCTATAAAAAAAGGTGACGGCACATTCTAGCTCCCCCCCCCCTTTCAGCACGTGTGGAATGGAATGCACGGATGGGATGGAAAGGGGCACTGGCTAAACAATAGCCAACTAAATATGTGAGAGTATCCGATTTTTTCCGCACAACCAATAGGTTTTATGATAAAAACTTGAATTACGGGATACCAGCCCCCCCCCCCTTGCGGCTAGGTCACATATTTAACCACTTGTTTTAATAATCCAGTGACTGCCTCGTTGTTTTAGTGAATGTAAACGCGACTACCGATCATGAGATCCCGGGTTCGAACACCTGGTCGAGCCAAAAAAATCAGTTATTGAGTTTTTCCTTTAATAAATTCTTAGTAGCTACCCAGAGTCAGGAAGTTGGCAGTGTCTCATCCCCGTGACTCGCTTAAAGCACGTAAAGTCGTTGGCCCTGACCCTGAACTCTCTCCGGTCGTGCCGGTTGTGACGGGCATTGGAATATGAGAGTGAAAGAATAAAAAGTGCACCTGCGCTTGCGTATACATTCGGGGAATTTTCCTCATTTTATGGATTAACTGTGAAAAACCAGGGGGACCCTTTGGGGAAAGGGTGTTCGCCTCCTTTTTCCATCCTACGGCAAGGAGGAACCCCCTTCATCAGAATAAAATAGGGGGACGGATTCGAAGAGATTTCTGTATCTATTGCAATTGCAAACTGCAAAGTCTCCGGGGTTGCGAGAAGGGCAGCCTTTACGCCTTTACGTAACAAATTGCAGGCATCCTCGATTTACTACAGCATGCGGAGGACTACTCTCCCTATGCATCTCCGGCTCATAAAAACACTCTAGCGGTAGGACAGACTCGTACTAGGTGGAGTCGGGGTCAATAAATTCGGTTCTTTGACATAAGTTGAACCTAACCTATTTTGTTTGTTATATGCCCTATACCGTCTATACCAGAATTTAACGTTTCTTTTATTTGTATAGATTTTTCCCGTCGATAGCTGTTTTTGATGTTGTTTATTTTTCAACAACATAGGTACGACAACGAATTTTGTTATTTAGATTTACTTTTATGTATGTTCTCATGTAAGTGGCGTATAAAATGTCTTTATGAGAATAAATGTCTTTAACCCTAAACCTATAGGCTGTACTGTTAAAATTAAATAAATCAAATATAATTAATCAATTTTATACACATACTGTATTACTTTAATTAATTCTTCGAAATTATCAGTTTCACGTTTCGTTCCACAATCCGGCAAAAGACGGTAAACACTACACATTTTTTATTTAATAGCTCGTTATGTAAATAATTCTGTAAATCAAATATAAATTGTTAAATATACGTGCTTGCATGAAAAGTACAAAATAAACTTACGTAAATTTATATAAAATAAAATTTTACCGAACTTATGACATCTTAACCGTACGTTGAACGGAACGTTCAATGGCGAGATTTCGATATAATTTGTGAAAGGAATTGACATAAATATTGTAAAAATAATTTATTTTCAACAACTTTTTTGTCAAATTGTACGCGTCTCCGAATTTTGAAGCTTTGCGTGTGTGCTTAAAATAATGTAAAATTTTGTAAAAAAAAAATATCAACCCCCAACTCGACGAATGTCAATAGAAAGCTGAGCCGGCTCTCTTCTTGAAGGTCTCTAAGTCGTATCAGTCTCGAAAAGTTGCTAATGAAAATCAATTACACAAGGAAATTGTGGGAGGAAAACGACTTCTGATAAATCGCACAGACGTGGACTGTCAATCGCCCGAATGATAAGGACGGTGTCGCAAGTTTTATCACGATGTGCGATGGTCAAATTGAGCGGCCTGGAATTATTCCGGACAATTCTTCTTATCACTACCATGTTAGATGCGATATAATACTTAATATACTTTACTGTGTGTAAACTTTAGTTCTTAATTAAAAATAACAAAATATTGTCAATGTCTAGGTATACTTTGTGAAAAGATAGATGAAGCTTCATCTATCTTTGAAAAACTGTAATACTTAAGTTAGTGAACGGCGTTGCTGAGTTCACAATACTAAAAAATATGCAGTAATTACATTAGATAAGTTGATAATTGTGAACTTTTTTGTGTCCGAGTTTAATAAATTAAGAAAAATAGAATAGGCAAAGAGATGCAACATCTCTTCGCAGCGCCAGTGAGACAAGTCGATCAGAAAGAACTCGGTCGTTGACGATTCAAACTACTCTGCGCTGGACGCGATCAAGTGGAAGGATGTTTAACGTGGTAGAACACATTGTAGCACGAATGAGTCAGCTCGACCTGGGAAAGACCACGCTCTCACATAATACAAGCGTAAAATAGTAGCTTAATGCTGCTGTGTTTCGTATGGTAAGTTTAGAGAACCGGAGACCCTTTATACTGGAAGTGAGGCGTTCCATCCTCCTCCTCGCATAGTCCTCACGGATGACAACGCATCTGCATTTTGATTCGTAATCGAAGATATATGTAGATATCTATGGGCCACAGCAACCACTTACCATCAGGTGGACTGTGTGCCCGTTTGTCACCCTATCCTATAAAAAAAGGAGCTCGCCCTAGGATACCCCAGCCCAGAGATGCGAACAGTATTACTTTTGAGCCTAAACTTGCGCCTTATAAAGTAATACTGTTATTGACATGCATGCAGAATGTGATGAAAAGGGACTATACTCAGCATTTGGCGGGGCCGAACGCTGTTTTTCACTGTGGCTTGTTTAATCAATTTATTTTATAATAAGGGTGACAAATGAGCACACAGTCCACTTGATAATAAGTGGATGATTTGTCACCGCTAAGGACTAAGATGGAATGCGCCTCGTTTTCAATAAAAAGGTTGTTCGATTCTCAAAATTCGTAACGAAGTTCAGCAGCATTAAGTTGCTATTTTACGCTAGTATTCTATGAGAGCATGGTCCTTCCCCGGTTAAGCCGATTGGTTCGTGCTACAACTATATAGCTGCAGCATGGCTCTATAGATTTCGTGAAAATGTGGCGTTTTTGTTCCAGACTGAGAACTGTGGCCTGAACCAATTTGCTATGACCATTGTGTTCATCATCAATGTGTTTATGGCGATTTTCAACTGCGCACTGAGCATTGTCATCAATTGTTGTGGCAGGAAAACCCTTCTCCTTACAATTCAGGTAAAGTTTTTTTTTATCTATTGCATATTTAAAACTAAATAGAAACACCCCCGAGATGTAGCCTTTTCAATAAAAAAGTTTTTTTTAATAATAAGAGTCACAAATGACGTAGAATCCACCTGTGACCTTTACAACTACATCTATCTTCGATTAAGTACCTAGATGTAGATGTCATTACTTAGGACTAAGATGTAATACCTTGTTTTCAGTTAAAAGGATCTCCGTTATTTTAAACACATCCGTTGACCCTATTCTTTTGTGCCATAGCTATATAATCGTTACATTTTTATATCACATTTGAAATAAATTTCAAACAAAATATTTATTTACTTATTATACGAATAACATTTAAAAAACACATAAAACGATTCTGTATCGGATTGTTATCCTAAATATGTTGACATCATTTTCATACTAATTGCAGAAGAGATCAACTCTTCACTAGACAATATTTATTAGGTATTTAACTACATAATACATATATTTAAGCCTACGTGATGTGGGAATCAGTGTGTACATAAGTACAAACAGTTTCACTGCAATTTTGAGTGTCCTGGATCTTGGGTTAAAGAAATCTAAGCTGGAGCTATTATATATACATAGATATCTGATAGGATATAAGTAGGATGACAATTGGTGAATATATTGTGTAACATACATACAAACGAACATAAAGTCGAAACCTCTTCCTAATTGTGGTTGATTAAAAATAAGGAACGATTAATTGTTTTATCAGTTGTTATTTATATTTTTTAATAAATGCTCGGTTCTAATTTTTGCAGTGGCGTGGTGCATCATCTTTTTAGATGCTTAAGTATGAACCATTATCGTTACAGTTCATCAAATACCACTGCTGAATATAGGTCTCTCGCCATAGATTGCCTTATAGTGATGATATTTTTTAAATTTTTTATTAGGAATATACTGCTGCCCATCTCCTAGTTTGTTTCCCTCTGTCGCCTTTTACGACACGGACCGGGGATATTTTAACACCGCCACTACACGGATAAGTTTTTCATATGTAAATGCTTAGATATGTTGTGGCGCTTCGTCGCGCCACTAGCACACCGAAACACACAGAAGCCTAAATCGCGCTATTAACATTCCGAATCATAGACAGTATATATATATATAGAACTTCTCCGAATTATCACTTGGAGTGTCGGCCGCTCCCCGGGCAGAACACCTTGCCCGGCGGGAGATCTCCCCTTTTCCTACCACGGCCACAGTGGTGACCCCGAAGTGATTTGAACACGCAACCAACAACCTTCGGACACTTCAAGCTTCATCATCGTCATAGAATAAAACCCCACCCATTCGCTCCCGAGCAGATATCGTCTGCAGTCTTCTTATCCTGCAAGCCATCTAGCTTCACAAGGTTCATCGCAGCACTGGAATAATAATGCTTCCTGTTCCTTCAAGCTACTCTCTGCGCTATACAGTGTTCGGCACGGCTTGAGCTTCCGCCTCACGCGATTTACTTGCCTTCTTCTCGACTCACCGCAGACTACAAGGCAATCCACTGGCACTTGCATATTCATCGGTAACGAGGCTGCACTATCGACCTCCGGTCTGAGCAGGGGGGTGATGTAGTGGCGCTGTCGTCGCGCCACTAGCACACCGAAACACACAGAAGCCTAAATCGCGCTATTAACATTCCGAATCATAGACAGTATATATATAGAACTTCTCCGAATTATCACTTGGAGTGTCGGCCGCTCCCCGGGCAGAACACCTTGCTCGGCGGGAGATCTCCCCTTTTAGTATCTTTTAAAGAAGGGTTTTTTCTCTTTGTTTGAATTGTTACGTGCTGATTCACCATGTGAGCTTCGTTATTTATTGTGAGGAAAGCAACATGTCTGATAAGTTAAAATACTTCGATGAAAATAATTCCTTATTCCATAAAGGAGGGAGGTAGTACCCTCTCTCTTCAACCATAGGACAAACAGACGCTCGGACAGTCTCTATCCCATTGTTATCGTCGCACCACGAATGCGAACCAAACGATTTGCTTCAATATTCCTTGTGAGTACAGCAAAGGGGTGGAATCGGCATCTGCCATTCCATCCGATTTCATTTTGGGTGTCTTCAAATTAAAAGTGAGTAGGTGTATGTTATGCTAAGTCAGTTTACTTTACCGTCTCTTGCTCACCACTTATCTTCATGTGATACAGTAATCACACGCTGGTTCACAAAAATTTAAAAGAAAAAACTAAAAAAATTGACGTATTTTTACAAATACATTGGGGTAGCATAGCAGAGCCTCTTCTGCTCCAAGACACTTTCGGGAATGAGAAATCTGTGACCAGCAGTAGGACATATTTCCTAGCGGTTTCATCGGCTACTTATTGTGTATATTATCTCTATTTATAAAAAATCAAAACTCAAAAATGCATAGACTCAATTACCCGATAGGTGGCGCTGTTATCGAGATCCAGAAATATTACGTGTGAAGCCGGAGCAGAAAGCTAGTATAGCTAGTAAAATTTAATATTTTAAAAATAATTTTAAAATAATGTTTATTTTGAAGGGCTGTATATACTACATGTAACAAAAACCCTGTGGTTCCCGTTAAGTGTGTTATCAGAATCAGTAATCAAGCATATAGATTTTTAAAAAAAAAACACATTTAAAAAAATTAATTTTAATGAAAAAAAAATATAATTTGCAAATTGTATGTGGTTTTATTTCCTCTAATTTACACAAGTATCGGTAATGCGGGGTCTTTGAGAATCCTCTTACTCCTTGGCCAATGCAGAGATAATAAAACAACATACAATTTGCAGATAATTTTTTTTTCATTAAAATTATTTTTTTAATGTGTTTTTTTGAAAAAATAAATATTTCTATATGCTTGGATACTGAATCTGATAAGGCAGTTAACGGGAACCACAGGGTTTTTGTGACATGTTGTATATATATATTAAAAATAATATAAATTCAATTTATGTATAAACTTAATTTCTAAAATTCTGTTTCACAGCTCACGTCAGGAGTGGCTGGCCTACTTATAAATTTCAGTAGCAATTGGATCGTCAGCTCTGTTCTTTTCATCATTTTTATATCAGGTGTCCTCAATTTTGGATACCTTTCGACCTTTAGCGTTGATATTTTCCCGACATACGTCAAGTAAGTAAATGTTTAATATACCTGCCTATATCTGTTTATATTATATTAGTTTGTTGTATGACAAAGATAGAAGATGAAATATATGTGAACCCATAAACATAATTTAATCATAAAACAAATATAATGATAGTCACGTGACTTGACAGAAGACTTCGAGATAATGACAAAATATAATAATGTACTTTATTTCATTCCCAGGGCAATGGCTGTCTGCTTGACATTGATGGTCGGCAGAGGCAGCTCGGTGCTAGGCATCAACCTCCTCAAGCATTTGTTAGTGAATAACTGCGAGCTATCCTTCTATTTGTTTGCAGGCCTTACGTTCGGTAACTGTGTATTTTTTAATAAAAAAATATTACCCCTACAGGAGCAAATTTTTTAATGTCGTGGTGGAACTTTATGAATATAAATTGCACATGGACGAACACCCAGCCGGTATTATTATTGTGTATATGTCTTTTATTATATAGTCCTTATGGCAGAATCGCTGGAGGACCTTAGCACTATGCTCAATGACCTCAATGGTGTCTCCCAACGCATAGGTCTTAAGATAAACATGGACAAAACAAAGATCATGTTTAATGTCCATGTCACACCTATGCCGGTAGTTGTTGGGAGTACTATGCTCGAAGTTGTTGACGAGTACGTTTGCCTGGGACAAATAGTCCGTTTAGGTAAGTCCAAATTCGACCGAGAGGTCAATCGACGGATTCAACTCGGCTGGGCAGCGTTCGGGAAATTACGACACATCTTCTCGTCAGGTATACCTCAATCTCTAAAAACTAGAGTGTACAACCAGTGCGTGTTGCCAGTGATGACTTACGGATCTGAGACGTGGTCCTTCACTGCTGGCCGTATGAGGACGCAGCGAGCTATGGAGAGGGCTATGCTCGGAGTTTATCTGCGTGATAGACTCAGAAATGAGGATATCCGCAGTAAATCCAGAGTGACCGCATAGCCCAACGGATTAATAAGCTGAAGTGGCAATGGGCCGGCCATATAGCTCGAAGAACCGATAACCGATGGGGAAGAAAGGTTCTCGAGTGGCAGCCTCGTGCTGGTAGGTGTAGTGTAGGGCGACCCCCCACTAGATGGAGTGACGACCTGGTAAGACATGCAGGAAGTCGATGGATGCAGGTGGCTCCGGACCGTGCTTTGTGGCATTACTTAGGGGAGGCCTATGTTCAGCAGTGGACTTGTGAAGGGCTGTAATGATGATGAATGATGATGATATGTCTTTTATCGTGGTAGAGCCACTCAGCTCTATATTTAGGGTGCGATATGAATGGATCGATTCGACCGGTGAAGAACCGCGCTTTCATATAATACCAGCGTAAAATAGAAGCTTAATACTGTGATTTCTATGGTGAGGGCCAGAGATCTTTTATACTGGTAACGAGACATTCTATCGTAGCCCTCAGGAGTCATGTGACCGCATGCATTTACATTTGTATTCCTAATCGACATGTAATATGTTCTTACTCAACATGTTGTTATATGTTCCTAATCAACATGTTAATATGACATATTTGTAATATACATGTTGGCTGAGCGAAGGCGAGTACAAACGTATAGTCACTCCATTTGTCTAGCCTTGCCATTGTTTGTCGTCACTCGCCTAGATTGCCGAGAGCAGGGGAGCGCCAAGGAGTATGCGGTTCCTTTGGCGTGTCTTACCATCACTCGGGATCGCTCTACACGACTTGTCTCCCTTAGGAACAGTGTCGACTTTCTGTCGCTCGCCTGCACTCAGCAAGTCGTGTCCACATGTTAGTCGTCTATGTCAGTATGTTCACTCATTCAAACTTGACCAACATGTAAGCTGGTAGCACTCGCCTTGTATCAATTTGCCTACGCTCGCATTGGGTGAGGTTTGGCCAACATTTTGTATTGCCGGCTATAGATGTAGGTAACTATCGGTCATAATATTCACTTGCTATCAGGTGGGCTATTTAGTTATTAGTTTGATTCTATTAAAAATGCTATATGAACGTTGCGTAGGTTATTGGTTCCATGAGAGAATCAAACCCGCAGTTCACAGCGCTACAGTCGGGTCTGCCAACTTTTATAAGTATTAAATTGTAATCTGATTTCAGAGAGGCTCAGCAAAGAGTAGTCCAAAAAAGAGTATTATTTATTTCAATTTTTAAAACAGTATATTTTTTGTATTTTTCTGGTACATACACATTTTTGTGTTATGGCTAACGACAGTTAATTTTGTAGCAAAATGCCAGTAAATGCACTCGTAAACATGTTGTGTAGGAATGTGTATGTTCCACGGCTAGTCAGAGGCCTTACGTATTTACCGATCAATAGTGCGTTATGGCGGACATCACATGTCTACAAAATATTTTATTTCTGTGACAAGAAAGTTTAGATATTTTTCTTTACCACTGAGTACGTGGTAAATCAGCATTAAAATTTCAATTATGTAATAATTTCATTGTCAGCGGCGATAAGCCCGGGTTACTCGCGTACTATGACTGTAACGGCTGGTTTTAAGCTTTTAAAAGTGCTGTTAGCATTACTAAGCTAAGCTTTAAGCTATACAGTTATTGAAATATGTTTTAAGATGGTAAGACTCCATTTCCGCCCAAGAGTTCGTGTGGGCAGGTGCATATTTCTACCGTCAAATAACAGTACTTGCACTGCAGTGTCCCGGTCTGAAGTTTATAGAGAGCCAGTACAAATAGTACAGGTTGTGAGGCATTCCATCTTAGTCCTCATAGGCGACAATGCATCTTTAATCTTCTTTGTTTGATGTCGTCTGCAGGTATCCACGGACTGCAGTAGATAACATCATTAAAGCAACGAGTGAGTTCTCATGAAAAGTGCATCTTCGTCAACTGTCGAAAATCTTGCGGAAACCTACATACTCGTATTTGTGAAATTATTTGGTTTAAACCTGTCATTTGGTTTTTACATAAACTTTTTTCCGTATTCCAAGAAATAAGCGAAGAAATAGGCAAAGAGAAGGATATGCCCTCTCTTTTTAAGCGGGTCCAAAGGAGTCCAAGGGACACGTATGTTTTTTTTATGTTTATGTATTTTCATCCATTTTTCGGAAACAGCCTGGAGCTATATATATATATATTTAAGTATATTATTTTTTATTAAATAATTTGTACTTCAAGGTGGTTTTACCATTACCAGAACAGCCACCCAAAGAGTAAAATAAGGAATTGAGATCATATAATTGAAGGGCCGTGTGAGCTCATGGGCAACCCACTGTGTTCGATTTTCGAACTTAGAAATTGTTAATTGCAATTTTAACTACTGATTTACCACGTGCGGTAAAGGCAAACATAATGAGGAAACCTGCATGTCCGAGAAATAAAAAAAATATGCGGCGGATACTTCTTTGTTCTAAAATCCTCTCAGAAGTGAGAGAAGGCCTATGCCCAGCTGTGGTACATATATAGGCTCTAACATTACTAACTTAACCTTAGTACTATATATATTTTACTGTTTCGTTTAACTTGACTGATTGAAGTTAGAACACAAGGTAAAAAAATTAAACCTATAATTAAAAATAAAAATCGACTTCAAAAACTGAAAAGAAAATTTAATTGTTTGGAACAATAAAATTAAATTTTTTTTTCAGTTGGTGGCCTAACTGGGTTCCTGCTACCTCCAGATGTTAAAAGAAAGAAGAGCATCTGATTTTGCTGAATTGAGGTCACATTTGAATATGAAAACACACTCTGACTGTGATATTGATAATATATATGTTAATTATTGTCATGGAATGAAATAAAATTAAATGAAACTAGGTTTTACTGATTTTATCGATTTATTTACAGCACCCATGGTAACAAAGCATGCCTGCATAAAAACTAGTTTCATTTAAATGTGTACTTACGAGTACCTAGTCTTCAGGTAATAATCAAAAATTATGAAATAAAATTAGTTTTAAGTAGTTGTCGTTTTATTTAAATGAAATATTGTTTGGAGGATGCTGTTCTCAGTAATAAAATTGCCTATTGCAAATATCTAAAATTTAAATATGCCCAACGGACAAGTTATAAAATGAACATAGACAGTTTAAAGATCATGTGTAAAGTCCATGTTTCATGTATGCCAAAAAATACCAACGTAAAATAGTATCATAATGCAGCTGTGTTTTGTATGATGAGTGTAGAGAACTAGAGAAAATAGAGAAGAGAGTAGTAGAGACCAAGAGAATTTCTGAAAACGAAGCATTTTGGTTCTTAATGTTCTTAATCGAGGATAGATAAAGATGTCTGTGTGCCATAGTATCCACTTACCATCAGGTGGACTGTGTGGTTGTTCGTCACACTTCATCATCATCCTCATCATTACAGCCCTTCACAAGATCGCTGCTGAACAGTCTTCCCCTAAGGAATGCTGCAAAGCACGGTCCTGAGCCACCTGCATCCATCGAATTTCTGCATGTCTTATCAGGTCGTCACTTCATTTAGTGGGGGGCACCCTACACCTTACCTGTCAGTAGGTATGAGGCCCCCACTTGAGAACCTTTCTTCTATTAAAAAAATTGAGTAAATGTTGAGAGCACTACGCTTGAAGCTGTCAATTAATATGTTCACTTAGGACAATTTGTACGACTAAGTGATGCTATTTTCCAACTTTCACGAAAAAACCTACTCTTTTTCAAGAGAGTGCAACGCCTGGCTCTTCGTTCAGTTCTCCTGGTGTGGAAGTTGTTCTTGGGGGTAAACACTTACTATCAGGTGATTCGCATGTGTGTTTGCCTCTCCTATATTATATAAGAAACAAAAAACTCCGACCGAAAAGCAGATCGACGGATACAACTCGGCTGAACCGTGATCGGGAGATTAAGACACATCTCGTCACGTGCAATCAACGTGTTGCTAGTGATGCCATTTGTATCTGAGGTACATGGTCCTTTACGCGAACTGTGGCGAGGACTATGTTCGAAGTTTTTCTGCTTGAGAGAGTGGAACAAGAGTAACCGATATAGCCTATCGGATCAGACAGCTAAAGTGGAAATGGGCTGGCCATACAGTGCAAGGAAGAGTGGAAGAACAGTGGCAGCAGCTTTTTCTGTCGCACGGATGGGCCGGTTCGAACCGGGGTGGCTCACAGAATACCATCGTGAAGCAGAAATTTATCTCTGCGTTTCGCTTGGTAAGTGCAGGTGGCTGGAGACCCGATTCCCCCCACGGTAGCGGAATCAAATAAAACACTAACCCATGACGGAGAATCCCTCGCTCAGCATTAATGCCCAAGCTACCCTACTCTTTCTGAGCGTGGGTGCTCAGGCTGCCCTGTGTATTCTGGGGTGGGGGCGAAATTTCGCTCGCGACTAAAAATGCTCAGAGCAAGTGGAGCAACAACACCAAGGCGATCCCTGTCAAGCTACCCGTTTGCTGCAACGTCAGGCGAATACTTCATATCTCTCCTACCCGGGGTACAAATTAGAACACTCCTTTGTGCCCCGGGCTGGAATTTGCATATACGTCGGAGAAGATATCTGTTTTAGACGCCTCGGCGGTCTTGAAGGTATGAACCTGCCCATCCTAAGACTGCGCGTAGACAGCGACGACCATCCCCACGTCTACGGGTGCCTCTATAGTTCCCATAGCGGTAATTCCGACACCGACCGACTCATCGACCATGACCAAAAGTGAACCGATTTTGATGATGCTTTTTTATTTGAAAGCTGGTGCTTCTCATGTAGTCCCATATAAATTTCGTCAATATCTGACCAGTAGGTTTCGAGTTATCCTTAATAACGAGTAATTAAATGACTTTGACTATATTGATGATGTTCTGTTTCTTTTATTTTTTGTGAAGTCGGTTGGTACAAAAGTTTTAATTTTACACTTGTTTACCTCGTACTGGTTTATGAAAAACATAAACAATTTTAAGAAATTCTGATAATTATTTAAATTACGTAAGGTGTTTTCAATTTTTACAAACTGTATTAACATTATCACTATTTTTAATAGAATAAGGGTGACAAACGAGCGCACAGTTCATCTGGTAGTAAGTAGATGCTGTGGCTCACAGACATCTACATTTATACTCGATTAAAAATCAAAACGTAGATGCGTTGTCACCCTTGAGGACCAAGATGGAATGCCTCGTTTTCATTAAAGAAGGGTCTCCGGATCTCTACACTCACCATACGAAACATAGCAGTAATAAGCTGCTATTTTACGTTGGTATTCTGTGAGAGCGTGGTCCTTCCCCGGTCGAGCCGACCCATTCGACAACAACCATAATGTAACTGCAGCGTGGCTCTTATTATTACATTATTAGTGTACTAGCGGTGTAAGCATATCCACTACCCCATATGATCTCATAAGTGTCGTAAGAGGCGTTAAAGGGAAATAAAACAGGAGATGGGAAGCAGTCTTCCTGATGACAAATAGTAAAGTAAAAATACTACGGTTGTCAGCCCACTTGCCATTTGTGACAGACTTTGATATGCTGTGATGACCATGATCATGAACGTTTTTCAAGATGATGATCAGCCCCGGCCCCTTCGGAGTCAGGTGGTGGCTGCTGTTTCCGATTGTTCCTTAATGGTATTTAAACTAGTTATGTTAGCAAATAGTATTGATATAACCACAGAAATCGTATTGTTACTATACCTGTGGATATAACTGTTTTAAAAATTATTTAGCTTACAATATTATTGCAGTATTTATGAAATTTTAAGATTATATTTTTGAAAAATTGCATCCAAGTTGGTTGTTGGTTGTTGGTTCTCAATATTATAGAAAGCATTATTAATTGGGACGTATTGTTTGTTATCTGTGTCGAATTAAAAAAATTCTGAAGCTCTCTTTTTTTTCGTTTATTTAACATTTTTTTATTCTACCCTCAATAATTTCACCTATTCATAAACTCGACACTACTTCGTTCATTTAAATCGCGGCTTGGCGACAGTTAACCTGCGTCCGTAAGCTATGTAAAATTATGTGCGAGTATCCAAGTTAAGACAAAATTTTCAGTATGATCTTATTTAAATTAGCTTTGCATATATTTGTGTACGTAGTTATTGTCTGTCCGTTATATAAGGTTGAGTGTGCACGTGGGAAAGTTTTAGGGAACCACTACGATGAAAATGGTGAGTTAATTGATTTCACTACCGAAATTTAAAAAAAAAATACTATTCTGAATTAATAATCCCGTGAAAATCTTCCGCCGGTTCCAAAAGTGAATAACGAAGACAAACAAGAAATAACTGGTCTTTCACTGTTTCTTTTTTATTTATTAATTTTAAAGGTAATTCCATTTCGATAATATTATGATTAAGTAGGTAATGTAGTTGAAATTTAACTATGTTCTATGGTAATTTCTATCTCTGTTTAGCCATATGGTTGACCGGCAGAGAATGCCCCGTGCCATATGGCATTCTCTCCTGGTATGACCTATGGCATTGTCCGCAACATTTACAACTTTGTGCATGGACGCATAAATTAATAAACATAAATTATACAATGATACAATTGGCGGCCTTTCGCTTATAAGCAATATCTTCTAGGTTATGTTGTGTTAACATTTTATTCCTTACAGCCTATTAAATTAAACTGCTAACATAGAATTGGCAAGTGGGTTGCTTTTTTTTAAATCCAGTTGTGGTCAGGAAGATGCTGTTGACAAACTCATTATCCAGTATCCCTCTGTCAGCTCTTATGACACGGACTTAATATATCCCACCTAGACGAAGCCGGTCGACATGCTCGTAAATAATATTATCATATTCCATTTACATTTTGAAGTCAAAACTTCTATAGAATCCGTCTTCTAGAGTGCACTCCCAACGCGTTGAAAGTGTACAGCGCGCCTTTACTCTACATGTTGCCTTTCATTCCAGTGGTATCTCACATAGGCAGCCTTACTATCAGCGACTGGATAAGTTTAAAATGATGTCTCTCCGAAATAGACGAGATATTCTAGATTTGTGTTTTCTACATAAAATAGTACACAATAAAGTTAAGTGCAGTGACCTTCTTGACCGCATTTCGATAGCTGTTCCGCGTAAATATCCCCGATGTCGCATCCTAAAAACATTTCATATTCCTTTCGCGAAAACTCATCTCGGGAAGCACGCGCACGTCATGCGTATATGTGGAAAACATAACGAATTTTCTAAAACCATACCTGGCATTGATATATTTAACGACTCTTATATTGCATTCAACATTAAACTTAAAAATCATTTATCGTCGAGTTCCTGATATAAATTACATTTTCAATATAATATATCTTATACTTAAATTAAAAATATACATACTCCTGAGGAGAGTATAATATCTACCATATTCCCTTTTAATAATTAAACCTGTCTTATTATCTTTAGATTTTTCTTATTTAAGTACATAATTTATTTTAATAGTTCTAATTTGCATTGTATTGATTGGATGATATTTTTACTCCAAATTAACCCAAAGTTGCACGACTCAATCTGTGAATGTTATGTACACATGGTAATGATATACATATCAGAGAGTATAGAAATGTATATGTTTTTGTGATTGTCATATATGTGTCTTGTAAGTGTACTTGTTAAACAAAATAAAATAAAAAATATAGAATCGTTGTTATTTAAAAGTCATTGAAACGAAAAAGCGACCTTAAAAAGGGACAAACATACATATATAGGATTTAGCCTGCGAGAGAAAGAGATAAAATATATTTATCATACATTCTATCTCATTCTCTCACAGGCACATGTAATAAACACTGTTTAGTGTTTATAATAAGTTAATAATAATAATAATAACAGGTTATTAAAACCAACAACTATCGGAAATAAGCATCCTAAAGAATGGCACCGTCGACATCTGTCGAGCTTGTCGCCATCCCGGGGGGTCACTTAGACATGTCATCTCCGGTTGTTCGGCGCTTTCTAACTCTGAGTACTTGCACAGGCACAACCTAGTAGCCAGAATTCTTCACCAGGAGCTCGCTCTGAAATACTGTCTCGTGAACCGGAAATTGCCGTATTACAAGTACTTGCCGGAAGCCGTGCTCGAAAATGATCGCGCCAGGCTCTATTGGCACCGTGCCATCATCACAGACAAGACTATTCTTGCGAATAAGCCTGATATTGTGCTGATGGACCGGGCACAATCAAGGATATTTTCGGTCGACATTGCCATTCCGTATGACGAGAACCTCGTGAAAGCCGAAATAGATAAAGGAACAAAATATCTGGACCTGGCTCACGAGGTGACCGACATGTGGGGTGGTCTGCCGACTGAAATTATTCCTATAGTCGTTTCTGCAAACGGGCTAATCCCAGTCAGCCTCTCGGGTCACCTGAGGAGGCTGGGACTCCGTGACGGACCGCTCCAGGCTCAAATGCAGAAGGCGGTGCTCCTCGATACCGCCCGCATCGTCCGCCGGTTTCTCTCCCTTTCCCCCTAACTCTCGGCCGTTTGATCTCCCCTGCCGAGGGCCTCCATCTGGTTGGGCTTTTATTTATTTATGTATTACTTATTTATTTGTGCTGGTATATGCAATATATATTTATCATTTCCTTTTATATATTTATTCAGCCCAACCAGATGAGAATACACTACTAATACCATAATAATAATAATATAATAAGTTAATGTTATAGTTACAGTCTATATACGTCCCACTGCTAAGCACAGACCTCTCTTCTGACAGGGTTTTAGGGCAAGGAAGTTTCCACTGCGCTGCCCCAATGCGTGTTGGCGAACTTCACATGTCTTCGAAATATTTTTTTTCTCAGACATGCAGTTTTCCTCACGATGTTTTCCTTCACCGCCGAGCAGGTAATCAGCACTTAAAATTGCAATTAACAATTTCATTGGTGCTGGTGGGATATGAATCTGGGTTGCTCGCGTAATGTGACTTTACTGCGAGCGCTAACCATCTGAGCTATCTGAGCTACCACATATGTTATGAATTATATATGTTATATAAATTATATTATATGTTTATTATAAATTTATTTATATTTTAATTATTAAACCCTACGGTTATCCTTCTACTACAAACTTTCAGAAAACTAAACATTTAGTTCGTTTAAAATTCTGAAGGTTTCATTTCTACCGCATGGGAACACATGTTTTTGTATACATTTATGTAGGCAGCTTTCCTTCTAGTATAATTAATTAATATCATATAGATCTAATTATTATTATTTCATGTTATCCAGAACACACACACAGCACAGAGCGTCCGTGTGATGTGTGTCCTAGGAAAGGAATCTGCGTTCCGAATATCCAGTGTCCAGCACATTTAAGACCCAACTCTAATAATCCCCTCTGCCACTTGGAAGGAACAGATGTAATTGGAGTGTGCTGTTTTACAGGAAACAACCATGCAGGTATAGCAATTATGCATTTATAGTTTGAGCCACGCTAAAGCGCTTTACTGCTGTAACACAAATGGGCCGACTCTACTATGGATCATGCTCGTGCAGGATGCCAGCGTGAAGCAGCATCATGCTGCGTCGGATCCCGTATAATGTAATAGCGAACAAAGCATTAGGTAAATATGTTAGTAAAGCTGGGCTGGCGAAATGGTCAAACACTTGGTAAAAATAATAGAGGCTTGCAAAAGCCTACCTTTTTAATAGCATATTTAAACAGAAAAGGACTTGGTTATAGCAACAATGTAAATGGTATAATATAACACATTAAAAACTATGTCAGACTCACTCGTAGTGGAGTTATTCGTGCAAATCGGATTGTGTAAAAAATTGTAATAATATGTCATAGATAAAATTTTATAACAGCATATCTTCCTTTTTAAAAATATGAATATTGTATTAATAGAATATTCATATTTTTGAAATATTATCATTTATAAATACTTACATATGTTTAAATTAAGTAAATAAAAAGTAAAACAAATTAATTAAGGTAACATATAAATACAACGTAAGTTATATAATGGATTCTACCATAGTAATAGTAAATACTGTTAATATTATTTCTTATGTACTTAATCCCTTTATAAGTGAACAATTAATTTTTTAAGAGAAATAAATGTCTTTAACCTTAAATCGTCTTCGAGGAAGACGAAAATAAATACCAAAAGGAATTTATGCAAAATATGAGATCTGAATTTAAGGTTTCAATATTTGACAAAGAAATAGACAAAAAAAGCGACAGTAGCAGTAGCAGGGCGCGGATCGCGAACTCAAAAAGGTCGTGGGTTCGAATCCGCCATTCGACTACGGGCGTGAACCACTCGTAACACAAGCAGTTTAAGCTTACCACGAGGGGTTAAGGGGAATATTAGTAATGTTTATAGCATTGTTAATATTCCTTTCTAAAAAAAAATTGATGCGCTTCTAGATACTGGAAGCGATGTTACATGCATTTCGGAAAGATTATGTTTGTTTTTGTTTATATCGTTGTTTTTTTTTCCTTGCTTTTGTAGTCTCAATCATTCATTCGTTCATTCATTTATGAAACAGCTGCAGCATTATGCTGCTGTGTTTCCTATGGTGTGTGAGGAGAACCGAAAACCCGTTTTTTGGGTAACGAAGGCATTTTATTTACATCCACAGGGATCACAACGCATCTGCATTTCGATTCTCAATAGAGCATTGATGTAGGTATCTACATGCTACAGCATCCACTACTATCAGATGGGCATCGTGCTCGTTTTTTATGCTTACTTCTATTCATTTTAAGAAACTTTCAAATAATTTTTAACTGAAAAATCGTACTACGAACATGTATTTTTTTATAGATTAAGGGTGACAAACGAGCACACAGTCCCCCTGATGCTCGGTGAATACTGGGTATAATAAACCTGCACCTGATGGGTGGAACGTACCAGTACCTGAGGATTAAGAGGGAACGCCTCGTTTCCATTAAAAATGGTCTGCGGTTCTGCACTGACCATACGAAACACAGTAGTATTAAGCTGTTATTTACGCTGTTATTCTGTGAGAGCGTGGTCTTTTCTCGGTCGAGCCAACCCATTTGAGCTACAACAATATTGACTCTACCACGTAAACGTTCACGTCATATCAGCATTCTTTTAAGTCATCTTAGGCCTTTTCAAGAATGCTTCAAGTGGTGGTACCCTTTACTACGAAGGTTAGTTATAGATTGTCCCATGTTGCTTCAATGTACTCGTAGATCCCATGTTTTGTGGATTGTATTATAAAAAAATAGGCCAATTGTTTTACTTTGGTGATTGCATCGACGGTGGACTTGACATTCTATCACTTCAGTCAGAACTATCCATTGCCAAGCCCGGCGAATACGGCCGGAAGAGTCCATGACACGAGGCTCTCTCTTCGTCTATAAATTTAGCTACAAAAACCAGCTAGCTGTTTTGCTTAAAAAACGTTACCCAACAGTTGGATTTTCTTTTGTATCGTAAAGACTTAAAACGTAAAATATTTTGCATGCATAAAATTTGTAGGCCATACAAATACTTGTTCCTTACAAGGTACAAAACCTCAGTTCCGAAGCGCTGCAATTCGAAGCTCAGCTACTGTGCTAAAAAGCTGTCAAATATAAGTAACACAAAAAAGTTGCCAATTGGAGTCCCGTGGGCGTCGTAAGAGACGACTAAAGATATGGATATAAGAATATCTTATGGCTTTCGACAGATTGTCGTATAACCATCTGACTTACACCAGACATAAAATACTCAGACTGGTAAGGCATTAAATGGTATGTAATCCGTTAAAGGTGCGAAACGTCTGATTCTGCTATGTTAATTCACTTGCCAAGAGCGCTGTATGAATTTCTTAATAATAATGGCAGTTGCCCTTTTGCTTGCTTAGACACCTAGACTTAGCGCAACTGACAGAAGATTAAAAAGTAGTTATGTTTTTATTTCTACTTTCAGGAGAATCGGACAAATTGATGCGTTCGTCCCCGATTACCACAGATGATATAAAATCAGTTCATAAACGCTCCCGGCAGAAAGTAGCAGAGTGGTTCAGAAAAGCTGATGAGCTGCTTAAAGGAAATACCTCCATCGTTAATGTCACTGCACCAAGTTATGGACATCATTTGGTAAATATTCTACTAACTATATTTTAAAATTGTAGTGAAAAAGTGACAGTCCACCTGATGCAGATAGTGTTGGTGACTTAAAAAGAAAGAAAGAGACATTTGGCACATTCAAACAAAAACAGGCAGATTTATATTATACGAGCTTGCCAGATAGAGTTTGTTCTACATTTTCCTATGCCCCTTTGTTCTTTACAAAAATCTTTAAATACGCAATAAAAATATTAAGGGTCACTTATCGAGGTAAAAACTACCCTATCTCTCAAGTCAGAGCAAGAAAAACACATTTACAAAATTTCATTAAAATCGGTTAAATGGTTTCGGAGCTCATCGCGGACAAACAATGTGACACGTAATTTTTATACATAACATATATAAATAAATATAAAAACACAAAAGAACAAAATATATGATGAACGAATGTAATAATTATAAAAATCAAGCTACTTCAGATTATGCACTACTGTCACCAAAGATGGTGTTGCCTTCTTTGGCGACAGTAGTAATACGTTGTCACTACCGTGGACCAAGATGGAATAACTCTCAAGTCTGTAATTATAGTGGTTCTTTATATCCTTCCAACCGAAACACAGCGATGAAGAAGAGGAAGAAAAATTAACGATAATTTACCGTTTTATATACAAGTGTGAAGCAATAGGAGCAGCTAAAACTACACTGCTACAACTCCAACGCGCTCAAAGATCTGTATTTAAAGTCGCAACATTCCGCCCTATCCTATTCACATCCCATCTCTTATATAAATCTTATAATGCCCTCTCAGTGCGCCAGTTACTCGTTGTGAGTACGTTACTAAAACAGCACTTAAAATTGTCTTACAGAAGAGAGGTCACTGATAAAATGCAAAGATAAAATAATTGAAACTAACATTAGAATAAGGCATTTTTTCGTGCATAGATTTTTAGCATTCCTGCTCAGTACTAATCAACCCAAACGGAATAAATAATATATACTCTGCTGCTACCATAATGCGGAAGGCGAGGGTAAAAAACATTTATTTCCTAACTATCCTTGGCTACTGAGATACTGCGGACTGCATATAGATAATTTGACGTTCTTATAAAGAAACAAGAAGCAGCCGCAAATATCATTCAGCGCCACATCGACTTCACACGCCGCTATCGTCACGTATCCGTCGACCAATGGTGAGCCGTTTCTTCAACGCCGCAGTTCGTTTCTTCTCGCTGTTCCGGAGCTGTATTCCACACCGCCGCCGCTCACCGACTACGCGAGCGCATTTTTTTTTGTGCCCGAAGCAATTGAAGGGCTACCCTATACGTAGGGAGGCGGAAAATGCATTACGCATACCACGATAGCCGGTCTATCGTGGTTATGAGGGGCTCACTGTCCTACCGGGGACCCTAAGTGATACCCTCTAAAATCCACCTTTGGGGACAGGCAACCGGCTGATTAAGCTCTATTGTGCCTTATCATGAGCGACCCTCTTTTGGGAAAAGAGGGCGCAGGGGGAAAAGAGGGCGCAGGACGCGTGCGCACCGATCTGCATGTCTTATATAGCCCGGTCCAGCGACGTAGCTTCGTGAACAAGAAAACAAGTCTCACGCCGGGAAACGAAACGTAGATAGATAATAGTTGTATATTTTGAATAATTTTCATTGGTCATAATATAAGCATTATAATTGGCTAGATAAAATAAAAATTGTTACCATTAGCAAACCAATTGTGAGCCAGCCATATAAATATAGGCAAGGTTGATGCAAATATATTCCATTCCATTCCACATTCATTCCATATTCATACTTCAATCGGACTTACATAAACAGTCGTTTCATTTCTCCACCTTAAAACCACTCGGAGTCTGTTAATAGTGGACCGTCCATCTCCACTATTATAGATTTTTTACATTTCTTGGCCCTTTTCTGTACAATCAAGCCAATGAAATTATATATATCCATTAGTTACTATGTTATTCATCTTATATAAGAAACAAAAAATATTTGTTAATGTATTTTTTAGCACATACACCTGAGATACAGATTCAGATGCCTGTTAGTGTAGACTATTTTAAATTGAGGCATTATTTGAATTAATTGTACAGTTTATGGAAATAAAAATTATTATACACTACCTGAAGGTAAATGTGGTGTAGTAAGTAGATGCGGTTCATATGGAACCCCTGAGGATAAAGATGGAATGCCACGTTATCAGCGAAAGGTCCCCCGTTATCGTTACTTACCATACGAAAGACGGCATCAATAAGCTATAATAGCTTTAACGCGGTATTTGATGAGAGCGTGGCCCTTCTGCCCTTGAGACATCATATAGTATTTATAAAACATTTTCAGTGTGAATATTTTGAGTAATGTAATTCACTTAGAATTATTATACTAGTATATAATAATGTCCTCCAGACTGAATTTCGATCACGGTGGCCAGTCATAACAAAGTTACTGTCATAGCTCAACGGATCAGAAAGCTGACATAATTATAGGCCGACATATAGCTCGAAGTACCGACAATCGGTGGGAGATCCTTACAGGATTAAGTAACGACTTGGTAAGAAATGCAGGAAGTAGACAGATGCAGGTGGCCTAGGACCCCATTATGGGCTAAAATGATAATGATGATTAATGAAATGATGAAAGCGCCTTATAGTTTATATATAGCAATTTCTTTTGACAACGGTACAACTGAAACTTATTTTAACAAACTACTGGACATAGCAGTCATGCTGAAGACAATAATTGCTATATGCATAGCGACATCTCATGGAAATGACCATCTCACAGAATACCAGCGTAAAATAGCAGCTTAATACTGCTGTGTTTTGTATGGTGAGTATAGAGAACCGGATACCCTTTTTATTGGAAATGAGGCATTTCATCTTAGCCCTCAGGGGTGATTGCGCATCTGCGTTTTGATTCATAATCGAGGATAAATGTAGATTTCTATGAACCGCAACATACCATCAGGTGGACTGTGTGCTCGTTTGTCAACCCTATTTTATGTAAGAAAAAACCTCATGGGATATGTTTTTATTCATTCATTAATAAACAAGTCCACTGCCGAACATATACCTCCCTCAAGGAATGCCACTAAGCTCCTTACTGAGCCACCTGCATCCATTGACTTTCTGCATCTTATACCAGGTCATCACTCTATGTAGTGTTTATGATAATCAAATATATTTTCATATTCAATTGATTTTCTTTCCCACTGTGGAAATGACCCATCGGATATCTAGATGATTATTCCCAGGACAGATGGATTTTCCGATCTAGTTCTTAAAGTACGAAAAGACTCAATAAGAATTTTTTAATATAATCATTTAATAATCTAATAAACTTTTTAAGTATAGATAATATTATATTCCATTCTGTTTCAGTCTATGGTGATATATGACGAGCGAGCTCAGAAGTTAGGTGAAGGTGGCCTCCTCAACCTCTTCGCTGCACAAGAGCTCAAGTCACGGCAGGCGATATCAGACGATGAACTAGCGCTCGGCCTTACTGACCAAACGGATGGTATGATGGAATAAAACTACTTATCTTTTACTTATCACTTAATTTGCTTAATTTTAATACCCGACGTTTTGGGTGCTTTCCAGCACCCATAGTCACGGGGAACTGAGGTGATTGACGTCCCGATGTCAGAGTTAACCCGGAGTACCTTCGACTTTTTAATTATTACATTTGGTTCGATTTACACGGAATGAACTTGATGTGTTTTGAAGTTTTGCAGCGGGATGCTTGGATTTAGTTATAATTTTATTAATTACAGGAAACAGAAACAGAAACTTTTTTATTCAATATAGATTATAAATAATACTCATTGAAAGTCATTTTTTCATTTACCACTGGTTCGTAAAAAAAAAACTCAGTCCTGGGAAGAGCCAGCAAGAAACCCAGCAGGACTATTTTTTCCAATAATAGCTTACAAACATGTACGTTACGATTAACAACACAAAACAAATCAGACATAGCTTGGTAGCGATCACCCTTCCCAGGGGTTATTATCATCCTTACATTCCTTAATAGCATATTAACCCTTTTTATACAAACTTAGTTTAATAAAGTTTTTGAACTTTGTGCACGTCAAATTTTTAACATTTTTTGGGATTTTGTTGTAAAAGCGTATACATCGCTCCAAGGATTAATTACTGACTCGGTGGAGTCGAGGATTCAGAATATTTCAATAAAGGAGGCTGGGTACTATCACCTGCTTGGGATTCGTTCGTGTAAATATAAGAAATCAGGATGGTAAGTTTTTTTGCTTTATGGAAGAAAAGGAGGGGGTACCTCTGAGTACTAAGATGAATTGTCTCTCAGCCAGTAATTATATTGGCTCTCTGCTATTAGGCAGCAGAAATAGCAAGTTGGACTTTTAGGCAAGCACACCTCCTCCTAGGCCTTAACTTGGTGGCGGGCCTATTTTTCTGTCTAAGAGTTGATTCTTTCCTTAAAGATCCTTAAATCATATAAGCCTAAGTCATATAATCCTCTGGCAAAAGCAAATTTCACAATGGTCATGCGTGGCAGAATATTTCTAGAAATTCCCATGGCAGTGAATTTCGTGCTATAAAGAAAATGTAGTAGAAATTTAGAATCATAGCATCGCAGCACTTGGTTAAGCATTTCCGTTCTATATATGTATATTGCCTAAGGTATATATATATATATATATATATATATATATATATATATATATATATATATATATAAAAAAAATGTGGTTATATAAAATGTGGTTTATGTGATGTGGTACAATATGCTTTATATGATGTGATTCCATTAAGCTTTTATTACCCGACTGCCGCAAAATGAGGGTAATTTTTCGGGAGTATGCACGTATGCATGTTTATATTGTGTATATTATATCTTTAGCATGCTCTGTAGCCTAATGGATTTTGACATATGAGGTTCGACACCTCATAAGATTCGTCTTAATTTTATACGTGATAGAGCTATGCTGCAGTTATTAGTACGGTTGTAGCAGGAATGGGTCGGCTCGACCGGAGAAGGACCACGCTCTCACAGAATACCGGAGATACTTTTTACTGGAAACGAGGCATACTATCTTAGTCCTCACGGGTAACAACGCATCTGCATTTTGATTCGTAATCAAGGTTAAATGTAGATGTCTGAGAGCCGCAGCAACCACTTACCATCAGGTGGAATGTGTGCTCGTATGTCACCCTATCCTATAAAAAAATTGTGGTGGTGACATAGACTATATAATATTTATATATTGCATCTGTAATTACAAAAAAGGGAGGGGAAATATTTTTTTCAACAAACTTTAGCGCAGTAGTTTTTATTTCAATTACTGTTTTAACCATTGAGTTCTTCTCCTGCCGTCTCCGAATCATTACTTAAACAAAATATAAATGTGTGTACGAGTACACATAACTTTAGGTTTCATAAAGTGTCATCAAAAGATATGGTAAAATATTTTAAGAAAACCGCAGATCTGGGGGGACTTCCGTTAAGGTTGTTGCGTCTGTAATATACCTACGCACCTCAACTATCTATTATTTTTTAATACTAGTGTCGAATCTGGTGTGTTTCCTCATTAAATGAAGCATAGTAAAGTAATACCTTTATTTAAACCTGGTAGTACATTGGACCCCTCAAATTTAGACCTATTTCTGTACTGGCAACAATTAGTAAAATTTTTGAAAAAATTATTCTTGATCAAATTTAAAAAAAAATATGTAAATAATTTACTTCATATAAATCAATTCGGTTTCCCAAGGGGTCGCTCGACAACTGATGTTGTAATATTTCAATATATATTTTTTCATTTATTCAATATGTAGAGTAATTCAATGCATGGGAGAATTCACAGGATGCTTTGGTTATATTCTGTGACATATCCAAAGCCTTCGACTGTATTCACCATGAAACATTAATCAGGAAATTTCAACACTACAGTGTGAGAAGTGATGCTCTTAAATTAAGTATTTCATATTAAAGTAACAGACGCAAAAAGTTTTTTTTACCACCATATTTCTTTGAATCACACTAGACACAAAGCTTCAATGGGGCCCCCATATATCAAAACTGGCTAGCAAGCTTTGTTCTGCAGCATATGCTGTAAAAAGATTAGAACTCTTACCAGTGTTGAAACAGCTAGACTAGTTTACTTTAGCTATTTCCATAGCATTAGGAGCTGAAATTATATTTGTTTTACAGAAAGGGCCATTAGAGCAACATATGATTTAAAACCAAAAAAGTCGCTCAGACAAAAATTTAAGGAAATTAATATATTAACTGCGGCCTCTCAATACATTTATGAAAATGTAATGTACGTACACAAAAATAAAAGTTGTTTTGCAAAAAATTTCGATCAACAATGGTCGAAGGCAAAAATAAGTGATATTCATTCTGTAAATACTCGGAACGGACACAAGCTAGTAGTACCAGTTACCTGACTCCACCGAGTTAGTAATTCATTCTTGGGGCGATGTAGGTATACGCTTTTACAACAAAATCCCGGAAAATATACAAAGTTTGACCCGCACAAAGTTCAAAAACTTTATTAAACTGAGTTTGTATAAAAAGGGTTATTATAATATTAAGGAATTTATGGATAATACTCCCCGGAAAGGGTGACCGCTACCAAGCTATTTCTAATTTATTTTGTGTTGTTAATTGGAACATTCACGAATGTAAGCTGTTATTTAAAAAATATAGTCCCACTGGGTTTCTTGCTGGTTCTTTTTGCGAACTAATGGTAAAAGAAAAAAAGTGACTTTCAGTAAGTATTATTTTATAATCCATATTGAGTAAAAAGTTTCTGTTTCTGTTTCAACTATTAAGCTTGTATGTAATAGTGGTTTCATAGTTAACATGCATCATAACGTCATCAATACCATCTGTTACGGCTTGAATGTTTCGCAATGTGTTTCGTGGGTGGTTTTGGGAACCAGAGAACAACCAGACCAAGGGCTGGCTAACCCGATGATCCCAACCGGGAAGTAAACGAAAATAGCTTTAGAACTGGGTAGATAAGGTAAGGATACTCACAAGACTGGAGCACTCATCGTTGTTATGGTGAAGTCTGTATATTTAGGCTGAAGTTCTCGTGTATACACAGATACCACACTGCACTTCGAATGTATATGGACACGAGCAATTGCACGATAGTCTTACAACTTATTTATTGGTTATTTTTAAACAAGCGGTAACGAACACGTTTTATGCGTGCGCGGCCATCTTCCCTTTTTTTTTTCTCGACGATAGGTGGCGCACCATTCTGAGCAGTGCGTATACGGGGGAGGCGGAAGGATAGGAAACACTTAGGAAAAGGATGTTATATCGGGACTGTTCCGAAGCCACAACATTCCCTCCCACCTGAAATCACCTAGGGATTTCACAAGACAACCATCGACCTGGCAGCTCTCCAGGTCCCCAGTTGCTCATAGAATATAAATTAATATAAACTAAATAGATATCTGAGCTAAGTTGTGCATTGATAACCTTAACTAAACTACAAAAGAAAATCAAACTTAGTTAATTTAATTTTAAAATTAGAACTTACAATCTAGCTTAATAAAACAATAAAAATAAGATTCAATCAAGAGGAAGAGGGCAGACTTTGACTACTGGTCTTGTAAGTAGGCCTCTTTTGGTCTTTAAGGTCACAACCCGGATAATATTGTCCTTTCCGGGGTGGATTTGGACTACTCGACCTAGGCACCATTCGTTAGGTGGTAGATTAGGTTCAATGATTGAAACGAGTTGACCAATATTAGGATGTTTGTGATCATTCTTAAACCACTTAACCTTTTGTTGAAGCGTATGTAAATAATCACTTTGCCAAATACGCCAAAAACTTTGAGAAAGCTTTTGAAGTAACTGCCAGCGTGTTCTAGGATTCATATCTTCAGCGGACGGTTCTGGTAGAGCTACTAAAGGACGTCCTATAATAAAATGACCGGCCGTGAGAACATCAACTTCGCCAGGATCAGACGATAACTGACAAATCGGTCTTGAGTTCAGCATCGCTTCAACTTTAGTTAAAACTGTAGTTAGTTCTTCAAACGTCAGGACTTGTAAGCCTATGACCCTCTTGAGATAATATTTAGTAGATTTTATACCACTTTCAAAAATGCCTCCAAAGTGAGGTGCTGAAGGTGGATTTAATTTCCACGAGATTCCACGAGACGTTAATTGATCAGAAATATCCTGTTTTTTATCTATCAATAATTTAACCATTTCCTCAAGATATCGTTTAGCGCCTACAAAGTTAGTGCCACAATCTGTCACAATATGGTGACATATTCCACTTCGAGACACGAATCTGTCTAGGGCGGCTAGAAACGCTTCTGTAGACAGTTCAGATACGAGTTCTAAATGAACTGCTTTTACAGATAAACAAATGAACAAGCATATGTAAGCCTTACTGACCCGTGCGTTACGTCGTCTGTTTTCTTTTTATAAGAAAAGGACCACCAAAATCAATCCCTACCTGTTGAAAACAGTAACCTTGTTGAGATCTACAAGGTGGCAGGTTGCCCATA